CCCAGCTGTGTATTTGAGTCAGAATTCTTTATCTGGGAATGTACAATGAAATGAGAAGGGTGTTTTCAAGAAAAATCCAAATATGCTGTGTGTAATAAAGAATGATAAATCACAGAAAGGTTTTTAGATATAAACACTGACTATATTTCTGTCAGTGTAAGAAGAGTGGGGAAAGCAGTTGATGTGACCTTAATTTTGCCCTGTGAATGCCTCTGTAATGTGTAATTATATTATAAAAAATAATTACATAAAACATTATGTAAGAATATTTTTTTTATATTTATAGAAAAATATATTTTTAATGAGGTTTTGCTTTGCAGAGGTTAAGTGTAGTTCAGACACATACATTGAAGCTCGACTCCATAAAAACTGAGCTGCCTACATTTGTCTAGAGTGATTGACATCAGCAGTACTATTGAACCTAAGTAGCATTTAAAGACATCTGGAAAACAAGAGCAGGGTAGGTTATGAAACAGCTCCCACGGCTTTCATCCAATTGCTTGTTTTCTTAATGGTGTAAGAATCCTTGAAGAGTCAGAGTCTAATAGAGCTGAACTAGCCCACTGAAACACTTCCAGTCATTGCTGGATTAAGTAGTTACTCCTGCTGTTATATCCAGTGTTGTACATAGAATTGCTTGGCTTGTCACTCACTGAGACATGCTACAAATGCATATACACAAAACTTGTGATGCTTAAAAACTGAGTTATTGATTGTATTAGAATCACTCTGTTTTGTTTTGTTTTGTAAACCCTAACCATCCTTAGGGACTGATAATGAGACTTACACAACAGGGTTTTTAAAGCCAAAATAACCTATACACTTGTGGCACGAGAATCACAGAATGAACTAGGTTTGAAAAGACCTTCAAGATCACCCAGTCCAACCATTCCCCAGCACTGCCAAGGCCACCACTAACCCATGGCACTGAGGGCCTCAACCACACAGGGCCCATCTGTGAACACTTCCTGGGACAGTGATTCCACCACTGCCCTGGGCAGCCTGTTCCAATGCCTGAGCACCCTCTGGGGAAGAAATTGTTCCTAATACCCAATCTAAACCTCCCCTGGCACACCTTGGGGCTGTTACCTCCATCCTTCTTGACCACTTTGCAAAGCACCCACAGGTACGTTCAAGTAAGTTCATTCCTTTTTCGACTGGTTCCTGTAGCTCTTCTAAACTCAAGCATTGCATAAATACATAGCATATTTAAGCAGTTGTCACAAGTAGTCAATAGGTGCACTGACTTTGACTGGGAGAAAGAAACCTGCTTTTTTATTTTTAAGTAGTGCTCAAATGTAAGAGAATGGTTTATAACAAACTGTGGTGACATTACAGTTCCCTGGAAGACACAGCTTTTCAGTATGTGCTTCTATGTGACATTTGTCTGGTTCCACTGGGACACTTTAAATGTGCTGCTAAAATCTCATGGGATTTTAAAGCCTAAAACAAAATAATATTAACCTCTTCACCCATGGGACTTTTGTGGAATGCTGATGGTAAATGGAAAATACAGGCCAGGAGTCTTAGTCTGCAGCAATAACTCTACTCAAATCCTTAAGGTGGATTTAATGGTTTAACAGAGCTACTTAACTACATGAAAATGATTCTAACTTAAGCACTCATGAACAGGAATACATTTGGTTGTGTCAATAAAACACAGGCAACATACAAAACCAGACGTACATTGTGAGTAATACAAAACGAGTGTGTTTAGTTACCACTCTCAGTGTGTATCCGTGGTGCATGGACAGCCACGGGAATACTGAATATTTTAGGCATTGTATTTTAGGGAAGCTATTGACAAACAAGAATTTATGAATAAAAAGTGGCCTGGAAAGAAGATCTCTTCCAGCCCCAAATAATGTTATACTGTATTGGGTTTATGTGGCAAGGTTCTGATAGCAGAGGGGCTGTAGCGGTGGCTTCTGTGAGAAGCTGCTAGAAGCTTCCCCCATGCCCGATGGAGCTAACACCAGCCAGCTCCAAGACAGACCCACTGCTGGCCAAGGCTGAGCCCATCAGCAATGGTGATAGTGCCTCTGGGATAATGTATTTAAGAAGAGGGGAAAAAACCTGCACAACTGCAGCCGGGAGAGAGGAGTGAGACTGTGTGAGAGAAACTGCCCTGCAGACCCAAGGACAGTGCAGAAGGAGGGGAGGAGGGGCTCCATGTGTCAGGGCAGAGATTGCACTGCAACCTGTAGTGCAGACAGTGATGAGGCAGGCTGTACCTCTGCAGCCCATGGAGGTCCATGGTGAAGCAGATACCCACCTGTAGCTTGGGGAGGACCCCACGGTGAGCAGGGGGATGCCCGAAGGAGTCAGTGACCCTGTGGGAAGCTTGCACTGGAGCAGGGTCCCGGCAGGACCTGTGTCCCCATGGAAAGAGGAGCGAGCCCACATGGAGCTGGTTTGCTGGCAGGGGCTGTGACACTGCAGGGACCTGTGCTGGAGCAGGGGACAAGCATAGGGAGTCCTCCCCTGAGGAGGATAGAGTGGCAGAGACAATGTGTGATGATCTGACCACAGCTTGTATTCCCCATCCTCCTGCACTGCTGTGAGGGACAAGGTAGAGAATACAGGATTGAAGTTGAGCCAAGAAAGAAGGGAGAGGTGTGGAGGAGGTGTTTAGGTTTAGTTTTATGTCTCATTATCCTACTCTGATTTGACTGGTAGTAAATTAAACTGATTTCCCAAGTTACATCCGTTCTACCCCTGACGGCAATCAGTGAGTGATCTCCCTGCCCTTATCTCTACTCACAAGCCTTCCGTTACATTTTCTCTCCCATGTCCTGCTGAGGCAGGCAGTGCTGGAGCAGCTTTGATGGGCACCTGGCTCCCAGCCAGGGTCAACCGCATACACCTGTAGTAAGAAACATTTGCCTTAACTGTTACTGAAGTTCCCAAGTGATGCAGGGTCTATAATCTCCCTGGGTTATTTGTAACATGCTTAGTTGCTTCCTTAAATAAGAAGCATTTCTTAGTATCTAGTTTATATGCTGCAAATTAAGCCCATCATTTCATGTTCTCCCAGAACAGATGTGGAAGACAGATGATTGTGCTAGCTTTCCCATGTTCTCCTGCTGAACTCTTTTGTGCATATTCCCTTTTCTCTTCTGATAGCTAGCCAGCTCTTGCTATCTCTTCTCATAAATTATGTATTTGAGGTATATTTCTGTATTTGTTGGTGATCTCCGGGCTTGCCCCGGTTGGTTCTCACCCCTCGCAGCCCTTGCAGAGGAGTTGGGGTTGCCAGGCAGACCAGTGAAGTGTCAGTAATTGGTAAGATCTGATATAAAAGTTTGAAATAGTAAGAAATAGTTTGTTCACATCTAAAGAGGGCAAATCTGAAACACCCACTTGCTTACAGTCTGATTGAATAGACGTAGGTGTTGAATGTAGATCTTATCGGTGATCAGCATTCCTTATTAATTTGCTTCCTTCAGCACAAGGCAGAACAAGTTAATGTGTGCCAAATTAATTCGTGTGCAAAGAACAAGTTAATTTGTGTGCAAAGAGCAAGTTAATTCGTGTGCAAAGAACAAGTTAATTCGTGTGCAAAGAATTTCAGATCTGCTTATAGCAAAGCAGTGGTGCATCAGGACAGCTGCTGACTTTGAAGGATAAAGAAACAGTCTTTACTCTGTGCCTGGTGCCCTCATGTGGCTTTGATGTTCAGGTTCTTGTGAATTAATTGAATACATCGCTGCATGGCTGACACCTTGGCTGTGTAAAAGGTATCAAATGATTTCCCTGTATAGCCTTGCATGGTCCTCTGAGAGTACAGCATCTGCTGGAAAGCCAAACTATGCTGTCTGTCATATGGCCAGTGTGATCTGGATATGCAAACACCAGGAGTTCCCTAACTTAAACCAAGAGACCTGCTGAGGTTTGATGTAGACTAACAGATTTAGCATAATTGCTACTAAAAATCTTTGAACATTAATATGCTTGAACTGTAGTACTAGTGCAAAATAATTTAACTATAAAGATAAAAATCTAATATTAACCCAATCTACAGCTGTATCATTCTTTCAGCTGTACCTCAGCCAACAAAATATATGCTATGCAGTGCCCAGAGCCCTGCAAGCCACCCCTCCTGATGCCATTCAAGCTCCAGCTCCATGACCATGCTGGCTGAGCTCTGAACACCAACCTTCCCAGGTCGGGGGGCTCTTGCTTCACCATGGCCTCCACACTGTGGTATGTAAGATAAATGGAGGTTTACAGAAGTCTGCCAGGAAGTGAAGCACAAGAATAGCCCAGGTCAGTGTATGGCTGAGCTACAACCGCTGATCACAACCCAAAATATTGGTAGTAGCAATATTGTTATAAATCCCCAGCACTTGGCAAATGAGAAGCAGAGGAATAAAAATGCAAAATTCCTTAAACTGATATTCCTAGGAATTGTCCTGCAGTTTTGACACCAGTATACTTCAGTGTGATTGGTGTAATATTGTAATATGTTTAGAAAGGGAAAAATACCTTTCATAGTTCATTGTCTATTCTGTGTGAGTCATTTTTTTCCTAACTTTATATATATATATATACACACATTAGAATTAGGAATTGCTGTAGTGTTTTGATCATGATTTTTTTGTATCAATAATAAATTAATGAACAGAGTTTGAGGCTAACAGTGAAGCTCTGTATGGATGACTTCAAGTCTTGTCATGTTTGTAAGATATGAAAAACCAGGAACTGCTTGGGGCTCAGCACTTGTTTCATATCTGTGAGCTGTTCTTTGTGCACAAAGGCATTTTTTTTTCTCTTGTAGCATCTACTAGATTTCTTTGTGAGTATGACCTATATCAGCTTACCTGTATGTGACTAAAGCAAAAGCAATTCCAAACATCCCACCTAGGTTAATCCATTAAACCCTTTGTATGATTCACTGTGTAAGAATAGTAGAAGTTTAAGTATAGAATTTGGCTATAATGTACAAGTAGAAAGGTTTTCATGTTTATCAGTCTCATCAAGCAAGTTAATACACTTGGTCAAATTAAAATATCTTATTATTTATTCACATAGAAACCAGTAAATTTTAGGGTTGGTAGCACAAAACTTTTTGTTAAAAAAAGAAAATGAGCTATGCCATATAGCTTCTTCACTCTCAATAAAGTAACATCATCACAGTTAAGAGTACATAGAAATGAAACATTCCATGTTACATCAGTTGGAGCACAACGTGATGAATATAATGAGAACATCCTTGTTAGAAATGTTACCACAAGGAACTATCAATAGCTAACAGCCACGTTCTCCAACTAGAAATCAAGAGTACTTGAGTAGATTTTGGCATAAAAGGCACAAAACACAAAGCCAAGCATGCTTGTGTCATTTGTCACAAAGAAGCATTGACATTTGTGCAACACGGAAAAGGATCGGCGTTTTTCTGGACTCTTCCAGTATCACGGATCTGTAGGGAACACTAATGCCTGTGTCCGTCCCAGTACAGATGCCAGCAACTACAAGGAAAGAGGAGTACATAGAAGTGGATACACCTGTCCATTCCAGTAGATCTTAGCTTGTGTACTGAGAAAGCCACTGCTATTGTACTGTTAGTAGTAAGTAAATCACTGCAGCCTCTCAGAAACACAGCCTCTGGCAGTGAGCACCTGTGGGGATTGTGTAAGACCACTAAGACTGTAACAGTGTTGGAAACCTCTCATAAACACAGGTTTACCATTTAAATGTGTGGTGCCAGCTCCCTTTTTTCTTCAAATAAACCTTTTTAAAAGGTTTGAGTCCTTGAAAGAAAAGGGTCTTCAGAAGAGAATGCTGCTTATGCAGGGGAATGGCTTTTCAGATTTTAAGGTGCTTCAGAAGTACAGATTAAACATCTGTGGTATTTCCTTCTGTAATGGGCTGACATCCTGCAACATCATCTTGTTAGCAGTCTGTCTGCTATATTTCTATAACAAGCCTATCCTCATCATCACTGCTAGTGTCATCATACTCAATTCTGGTTTGCTTCCTCATCATCTCTAAACCTCTCTTTTTGTATGTCTTGGAAGGTGTTGCAGCGTAAGTCTTGAACGCAGGGGACCTGAGAGTAACTGGGGGCTTTTGAAAGGCAGTAACAGCAGTGTCGTGTGGCCTTCCATCGCTGTCTGGCTGCAGGTGGGTTCTGTTCTTTTCTGCACTCCTGGGAAGGTCAAGGATTCTTTGAGAAAAGTTTGCCTGCTCTGGGTGTTCTGTACTGGGTAATTCAGCCCTTGAGACTGCCTCAGGAAAGGACTCTGCTTTTGATCTGAAGAAACATGAACATCCAGGCTTGGAGCTGGGAGTTGAGTTTTCTTTTGGAGATGAACATGTATTCTCTTCAACTGGAGGTTTCTTCCTTCCTGAGGCCTGTATCACTGGGTCTAATGTACCAAATCTTTGACTCTCTGACTCTCCACATAGTATTTTTTCCTGGCTGGCTTCTAGATATAAGGAAAGAGGACCAGTAGTTTCTGAGTTTTTGCTGTCACCTGTGCCTGTATTTGTAAAATCAGAAGTGCAAGACCAAAAAGAAGGTGCCATTGAGTCACCCTGAACGTTTGGCTGTGACTCCCCTGGGACTGGTCGCTGAAGCGCAAGTGGTTTTGTCACTACACAGCAGATTTCCACATCACTGCTGACCTGCTGCGTGGCTGTAGTAACTGTGGATGAAAAGGAGTGAGCTGTCGCAGACATTTCCAGAGGAGCTGTAATGTTCTGAAAAGAGAGGTTCGTTCTTGTGTGTTCCCTGATTTGCCCAGAAATGTCCTGTAGAAACTGGGGGGTGGGAGGGGAGAAGGGGAGAGAAAATAGGTTTTAGATTTTCAGACCAAAGCGATTGCATCCTTTATGAAAGTGGCACAATAACTAAGCTGACTTTGTCACTGGAACCTCTTCTCTCCCAGTGTGTGTGGGAGGTGTAGTAAAGGATATAGTTTTTCTTTTTTCATGGGTAGGTGACAGATCATGCTAATTTAGGGCTCATCACAGATCATCATAATTTAGGGCTGATGGGGGTCAGGGCTTTCACCCCTCATTCTTATGTACTCTCCAGGGAGACGTTCTTTTCATTAAGGTATTTTAATATGCATATTGCAATGATGTTTGTGCAACGTAGAGGGAAAGATTTGTGATGAATCTGTCAGAAATGTTACAGTATCTGAGGTGGCAAGATACATGTAGGAAATAAGATTACTTAGTAAAAAAAATTTTAAGGATTAGGTTCCTAAGTATGATACTACTTATGCTACATGAGGAACCGGGGCTCATGGTGTGTAACAGCAGTGTGGCTTACGAGCTGTTGTCTTCAAGTGGGGCCAGTGAATGCCCAGGGAGGAGTGCAATGAGGGCAAGCACAGAATGCTCCAGGAGCTGTGCTGACACTGCACACTGCAGCATCCTTGCAACACAGCAGATGTGTCTCAGGCCCTCTCTAGCTAATGCAGCTGTTGCTAGCATTGAAACCACAGCAGCACTGGCTTCCACACTGGCCTAAAGATATTCAGTTGGGCACACATTCTTCCATTACTGCCCTCCCCACTTCTCCAGTTCCAAGCTCACTGTCTCTGCCTCAAGATACTCTGTGCTACTTCTGCTGGCACCTCCAACATCAGTGCTAACCAAGTCTCTGATAGCAAGCACGAGAAATATCCTATTCAATTGATGCCAAGATTTTTTTTAAAGAATCTGTGATACGAGGCATGCTCAACCTGAACTTTAAAGCAGCTGGACATGATTTTAGTTATCAATATACTTTTTTTTCTTTTAATAAAAAGTAATATATGAAATAAGGCACAATACCTACTTTTTTATCCATATTGTCTTTTTCTCTAACATGGTTTAGATTTTCAGTATGGGCAGATATTCCTGAGTTAATCTTTCCTTCTTTTTTCTTTCTGCAAAGTGGCTTGTCTGAGGTGGAACAAGATGTTTCTTTCTGCTGGTGTAGGTAATCTCCTATTGAAAAGAGGTTGAAGAAACTTTGACTTTGATTTTTATTCCCCCACATGCTAGAACTTGCTAAATTTTTCATCATATCACTGAACTAAATTCTGTATTCTGGCATTTTCTGTAAATTTTTATTCTAAGTCTAATGTGTTTTCTCGTTTCTTTTATACACGTTTGGTTGGTTTTTTGTTTTTTTCATTTGCCATTACTGTCCTGCAAAATAATATCTGTTTATATCTGCTATGAATGAACACAGGGAATTGTATCTGCTTCCAGATGGTTGTGGCATAAATATCATTTTCATTAATACTGCTAATTAAATGGGGGGTGGTCACTGAAATGCAGAAAGCAAGTCAGCACCAAACTCAGTTCATGCTGCAAGCACACAGTCTTGTTTCAGAAAATGGTAAAGTTGCATCTTAAAACTTTTTAGACTTCTAGTGGAAGGTTATTTTGTGTTACTTCCTTTTAAAGTGCCCTCCTAATTGTCAAATAAACATATGTAAGAAAGTGCATGAAAATCATTGTGCATTCAGTTCCCAAAACTTGCTGGATGTTCATGTTTTTACTCACAGAACATACTGAAGGGCAAAAAGTGTTTTTGCAGTTCCATGTGATGCACATCAGAGAGTGTGTGAACATTCATGCTCGCAAAAATACATTCAGTATATTAAAAAATGTTCAAAATACTGACCTTGTACCTTTGACTGAGGAGAATGGTACTTCTTATACTTAAATTTACAGGGCTGGGATGAATAGCCCTTCCTAAAAGCATCCAGTGTTCTGTTTGGGAAACAATGCTGCTTGCTTTGTCGGTTCATTTTCAGTTGAGCAGATCTGTGTATGTGCCTTCCTCTGTACCTGCATTGCCAATGGCATTGAAAGGGTCAACAATACACATGATTTAAGAGCAGCTAAAGTAGAATAATGCCACATCATCAAGTAAATTTAAGTCTAACAACAAATTACTACTGTGGAGGAGATGCTTGTTTATGTCAACTAAAAAAAAAAAAATAAAAAATCCAGGATTTTAGGCGAGAGACCCACAGTTATTTTATTATTTTTTTTCTCAGTAGGATTCAGTAAATCCCAGGTTTGATAAGAGAAAAGGATTCAGGAATAACAGATCCTTTTTCCTGTATGTGGGATTTTGAAACAATATACTTTGTAAAGACTTGAATCGCACAGGAATCACCTGAGACTGCACAGTTGTTGGCTTTTTTAACTTTCAATTACATGCTACCTATTCATCATCACTAATGAACAACATCAACATTTCAGTTCCTCAGAAAGCTCACTGAATAATCCCACTCCGCTTTGTTTTCTGCTCTAGCTAGATCTTTCAGTAACTTAATGATGGAGGCTAAAGTACGTTGCAAGATGCCATTCCTGTATCAGTAGAATCACTCACTATACACAGAGTAGTAAGTAAATCTAAAATGGGGTGTTTATTCTAGTGTTTGGTGTATTAGAAAAATACTCTGCTTTTTATGATTAAGAGTCTGGCCAGTTAGCTACTGATAGGCATGACCTGATCTTTCAGAGCCCTGTACTTAACTGAGTCTCTGAAGCTATTTGGTAAAGCCAGATAAATAAATCCTGAGACCAGCAGAGGAAAAAAAAAATAAAAAAACAAACCAAAAAACCCAGGACAAAAACCCCACCCCAAAACCAAACCAGAAGAAAGCCCCAGAAGAATGTCACTAGACTGGATAATACAGCCCTGAGTCTCCTATTTTTAGTCTTAGGATCATTCAAAATTGCGGTGCTGTTTGCCAAACTAGAGCCAGTGATTAAGTTACTGACATTGATTTGTCCTCAAGGGAGTCACTCCATCTGATTTTGGTCATGCAATAAAATAAGGGGGATGTATGCACACAATACCTGTTTCTTATTGAAGCAATTCATCAGACATGCTGCTACTCCACACTCTTGAAAGATTAGAGGCTAAATCTTCCACTGATAGGAACCCCCATTAAATACAGAGCTGCTGTGCTGATTGATACAATGTGCCTCTGATAGTTTTGTACTCAAATTCTTCCTGCTTTTTATTTAAACCGAATGATCTTTTAAACTACAGATAGTTTTGTTAGCTTGTGTTAGAACTTGATATTTATTCTTCTGCATTCTCTTGTGAATACAAGTTCAGGATACAGATCTCATGAGGACAAAAGGGTCTCACACGCTGCTTTTAGCTGTAACAGATTAAAACCTGAAGTATTTTGGTTCCCTTCACACAAAAGTAAATGCTGACACTTTTGACAGATAAGAATAATTTCTAAAGCACAGTGAGAGTCAACTGACCACTCATCATCTTTCTTTGGTACATGTCTGTTTCGTTTAGAGAAGTCTGCTCCTGATAGTAAACAACATACTGACATTTTTTATAGCTTACCTCTGTGGAACTGCTGCAATGTGGGAGAATCTTCTGAGAGATTTCTCCAGCACCCCACCCCTCTACCTCCTTCCCCCCGATTTTGACAAGGTTGAATTTTGGGAATTTTTCATTTTCTGTGGACTTTTTTACACCCATTTTAGCAAAATTAAATCTAGGGAAGCAGAAAACCACAACTCACCATTTTGGGGTGACTTTAATCTTTTTCTGTTTGTGACTCCTCTTGAGTTTATTTGTTGAGAGTTTTTCCTTTTTGCAAACTACTGTTTTCTTCTTCTGCTCTGAAGTATTTTTGAAAGCACCACCAGGAGCTGCTGAGCTCAACTGTTGAGAATACTGGAAAAGAAATGAAGTACATGAAACTTCTGAATTCATCAACGAAGAGTGGAAATCTGTGCTCTTTTTAAATAGCACTGAGTAACATACTAGTTAAATAGCACAACTCTGGAATTTGTGTGTTAGCTTTTTCTAATCACTTTGTCTGTCTATTTTTATAAAATAAAATTAAAACAGCATGCTGCTTTTGTGGTTCTACATAGAATTAGTGTATGTTCTTTCATATTCTTCTTCCTGTACAAAAAGTCAGCTTCGTCTTACAGAGCTGTTCTAGGATATGTACAGATAAACTAGTCTACCTTCACTTACCTAAAATAGAAAAGCTTTCAAGCCTTAAACACTTCATGGGGTATTAATGTGATTTGGTTTTGTTGACATTTCAGTGTATCTGAAGAGTGAGAGATGTAGTCCACAGCCTGTCTTTGACTCCACACATGTCCAAGAATAACAAAGTCTTGACATTAATGGCTACTTAAGTCCTACTCTAATTCGGATATTCATTTAAAGTAAAAAACAGTGAAACACATAGGCTCTTGCAGAAGAACATAAAATATACTCATAAGGGGGAAAATCAAGAAAAGAAATACTCTGTTTGCACTAAGACAGCATTCCTACTGAAATTCTCGAGTGAAAGTTAAATACACAGAAGTATGGATTTTTTCCTGCATCAAATGATTATGTAACTTTTCTTATAAATACATAAATTGTAAATCCTGTATCAACAAATGCCTGTAAATGTCCACTTTTGATAATGATTTTATTTTTCTAATGGGGATTAAGCCAATTACACCCTCTTGAGAAATGAAATAGCATTCTTACCATTACCTCCTGCATCTGTTGTCCTTTAGAAAAGGATGACACCAATGTTTTTAAACTCCTGTTTGTTAAGCCATATGCCAGAGTCTTGCTAATATTTTTCATTTTGAAAATAGAAATATCATATTGTGATAGTGTGCATTCATTGCTAGACTCCTTGTCACAGCCGTGCATGGAGGAGTAAGCAGAGTCTGCACTCCCCTTCTGCTCCACAGGCAGAGGGAGGCTTCTTGTTAAACAACACCAAGTTAACCGAGGTTCAGCATTTAGTGATGGGAAGGTGCTCTTCACGCTTGACACTGTTAAACTTCCAGAGTAGCAAGTCAGATTATTGTGGGGTAGTGCTGGGAATTCTTTACAGTGAGTGGTGAGAGTGTGGCAATAAAAAGTGCCAAAAGAATGGCAAAAATAAGAGGGATTGTCTGCTGAGCTGTGAGCATGCTGTGTAACCTGCAGTGCTGGTGAAATGTCCTTAACACATGGAGTTCCACTCCTGTCCCACCCCATAACTGTTGGCTCTGCACCCTTGCCAGAGGCTGATGGTATTATCAAAGAGTCACTTCTTGAGCAAAGGTGATGTAAAACCTTTCTCTCTTCTTTGATGTCAGCTGATATGAAAAAACCACTTGTATACATAGACGTAAAGCATATTTTCTTCTTTGGGGTTTGGGTAGAGGAAGTAGTTATGCTCACCCACTTCTCTTCTGTTTGCTTTTGGTAATTTAATTTATTTTTGGTTTGTTTGTTTTTCCAAGCATCTCTTACAGCACCCTGCAGCCTCAAGTTTTGGTTATAAAAGGTGTTATCTGTTGCGGTTAAGATATTTGTTGTTTCTGAATTGACTGGTGAACAGAACACTGGAGTTTTCCAGTTTGCATGTACATTCCATCGCAGCTCTCCTCTGCTGGCTTTTTGTCTCACTTCAAATTTTAAAGGGGACCAAAAGACATCATTAGAATGAGAATTGAGTGATGGGCTGTTGGGAGAGTAGGGGGGGTAGGTTAAGGTGTCTGTCACACATGTGCAAGGTGTAATCTTCTGTTCTGATCTAAGCAAAAGTGACAAATCTGAGGCTCTCTTCTCTTGTGGTAGTTTAAGGATATATTTTGGAGAAAAGGCATTTTGCTGTGGAGCTGGAGTTAAATGACCAGATTGCAGATGATGATTTTTAGAAGACACATCAACAGCATTGTCATTGCAAAGCGGTACTTTTACTCCTGCTTTCACAAGACCTGTTTTGACATCTTTATCTGTTGCACTGTGCAAGGCAAAGGAGTTGCAATCACTTCCCCTTGATTCAGGCACTAAAAAACCCACAGATGAACTCTTTGAAATACCTGCTGAATGTGAAAGGTTAGCATCACTATAATTAACAGCTTTCACGGGGAGTTTGACTGTTTTAATATACTTCACATTCTCAGTATCTCCAGTGGATTCATTAATTCCTGTGCTTAATTTTTGCTCCTCTGCTTTACTGGAGAATGTCACTGGTGCTGTGGAAAGGCACTGATTGCTACTGCAGGAGACTCTCTCTCCTTCATTTTCTGTATTCTTTTCACTACTGGGACTAGGGCAGGACATTGAAATAATGTTTTGTGTCTTCTCCACTTCAAATTTCAGCTTTTTTCTTTCTGGTAAATTCCGCAATTTCCCTGTGGCTTCTCTGTTGTTGCAGAGGACCCACTGGGGCATCAGGGCATGCTGGTCAGTCTCCTTATTCCTGCTATAGTTTCCGTAATTGCTTGAAGTGGTTTTACAATCTGATTCAAATGGACTGGATTCTTCCCCAGGGCTTGGTTTTTCCCATTTGCTCCTCTGTACTGGCAAGCAGTCATCATTCCTTCTGCTGGTGTCCAGCTGACACTGTGTGTTTTGAAGCTCAGATCTGCTTGGAGCTAGTAATGTGCTGCTGCCTGCTGTGTGTCTGTTTGTGTCGCTACCCCTGAGATCTTGGGAGGGTTTGTTCATTACAGCCTGGGCACCAGCACTTACTGAATGTGATGTCTCCATTAGGTAGGTTACACTGTCTGCAGGTTCCTCAGAGGACGCATTCTGCAGAATATGCTTACCATTAGCAGAGATTTCGGACTTATCATTGCTTAAACATGCTGTTGAAAGGGAGGAAGGACTGTCGCATACAGAGCTCCTGCCATTGCTTTCTTCAGTAATTTCAGTACTGCTGATTGGTTCCTTTGAATCAGGAGTGAAGCCTGTAATACCTGTAATCTTATTTCCCCTTTGTTTCGTTTTCTTGGCATTTTGACTGCTTTTCATTTTTTGATAGATTTTCTTAAATGTTTCATCACCATACATTTGCCATTTTTCTTGAGAGAACATCTTTAACTTCCTTTGATTGTGTTTCTTATTTTTAGCACTGATTACTTCTCCAGCCCCAACCTTTTTACTCCCTTGCAACTCCTCTGACGGAGGAGAATGATCGACCACATTACTTAATGGCAAATCATCCACTGCTGTTTGTCTGACCAGAGCTCGGGGATGGCTATTAGGAAAATCCACTGAATTTGCAGCGAGACTGTTGCTAGGCAGCAGACTCACAGGGCCTGTGTTTGCAGACTGCTTAGTAAGAGAAAGTGGTTTTGAGCAGCCTGCTTTGTCATGTCCCATTCTTGTGCCCTCCACAAATGGCAGAGAGTTGCTTCGTGTAACAGGAACAGTATCTATGGTTGTGGAGAACTGGGTGGGAACTGAATGAAAAAACATTGGCTTGCATTTTTCTAAGGGTGCAAAGGTAGATTTTGCTGAACAAAGGGAAAGATTCTTCTTCCTATTTGCATCACAGGTTCTGATGTCAAAATGGAAAGAGTCTTTGTATGTATACGGCATTGGCAGATCAATGCTTCCCTGTTTAGAAAGGACAGTTTTTCTAGGCCTAACGTTGTCTAACTGAGTATCATCCACCACACTTTTGTTATGAGAAATAAGCTTTGAAATGTGTTCTTCCAGCCTCTTTTTCTCTAGCATCAAGGCCATAGCTTTCTCAGCTGCATCCAGCTTTGCACTGCTTCCGGAGGTGCAGCTCGAGCTGCTGAAGGCAGTTTCATTTTCCTGTTCTGTGCTGTGTTCATAGAGACTGTGCAATGGGCTGGGTGATGCCATCTGTTGTTCTGTGCTGTCAGAGCGTGACAGATACCCTGAGTCAGTGCTCTCACACTTCTTTAGCTTGCAGTCAAATGGCTTGTAATCCCATTGTTTTTCTGAAGAGGTTGCTTGCTGCCTTTGCAACTGAATATGCTTATTGGCAGTTGGAGTTCTTTGCTCCTGTATCTTCTTTCTCTGGCACTGACCGTTTGGCAAAGCTCCTGGAGATGGCAAACTCTGAGGTTCTCTTTCAGAACCTTTCAGATTACCTTTGGAACTAAAGGACTGATTCATTGTTCCTTTATTTTCTGAAATGAATGGTGTATCGCTTGTTGCCAGCAGTGGAAGGGCATTATGAAGTCTCTTAGTGCCTGTTACAGCACTGGGCTCTGTATTCAGTTGTTTCATCTGTATCCCTTTGTCTTCACAGGTGTTACTAAGTAGTTTGCTGCCTTGATGTGAGGTGCTGCTTTCTGTGGATTTGTCGTTCTGCTCCAATGGGCCGCTGTTATCAGAGTCTGAGGGCAGTCTGGTATTGTTGACATGTGTTTGAGTTCTTCTGTGTTTGTACAAATTGCTTTGAGTTTTAAATGCAATACCACATGTGGTGCATGGAAAGGGCCTCTCTCCAGTGTGAGAGCGAATATGTTTCTCAAGGACACTTGGCTTCAAACAATCTCGGCCACAGTGTTTGCAGATGTATTTCCCAGCTTTTTTTGACTTTCCTGGGCTTCCAATAGATGCATTTACACAAGGATTTGGTGATGACAAAACTGGTAAAGTGCTCACTATGTTCAGCGTTAGAGTTTGCCCAAGCTGTTTCTGAAAAACTGACTGAGGCTGATCTGTGCCTTCTGAAGGAAGAAGTGGATTCAGGATTAGAGGTATGTTGCTACTGTCTAGATTTACACAGCTCCTGCCAGTCACTAACTGACTGCTTGGCTGAAAACATCCTGCCTGGACAGGCTGGTAGAGTGGTATGGTGAGGGCTTTTAGATACACAGGTTGGGGCAGTGCTTGTTCCCGTTGAGGAATCATGCTGCTCTGGCTGTGACCTGAAGAGTTCTGTGCAGGCTGGAGAGACGAGGTTGAAACTGGTTGATCTGCAAGTGCAGCTGTCAAACCCAGCTGTTTCTGTGCCTCCATCTCAAAGTTTATCTGCCATGTGGTCATGTATCTATGAGGGAGGGGAAACAAAACAAGTAGGAATCTTCAGATAGCAAAATAAACACTTTCAATTGCTGGACTAGAAAAGTCAGCCATGAAGAATGTCACAGATCTTACACACTGGTGTTACACAGAAAAAATTATATATTTTTTCAATTAACTTGATTCACCTTTCATTCCTTGGCTAGGAATTAAAGTTTGGTATGTAAAGAACATTGAATATTGCACTTAAAACCTACAGTAAGAACCCAAAGTACTAGAAATAAATCCAAGTATCAGATTTGCAAATGGAGGCCCTCAGGCCCCCCCAAATATTCCAGTGTTAATTTTCTGGAACGATATTCCTATTACATATTTATACCATGTTCTTTAATTTAAGAATTTACATTAATATATGTTAATATAGAAACACAGAACAATTAAGGTTAGAAGGAACCTCAGAAGGTATCAAGTCCAGACACCTGCTCAAAGCAGAGTTAGCGCTGAGGCCAGATGAGGTTGTACAGGGTTATTACCCAATCTGGTTTTGAAACCCTCTGAGGATAAAACCTGCACAGCTTCTGTGAGCGACCTGTTCCAAACACAGGACACGAAACATATTATGTGTGTTTACCCAAAGTAAGTGAGGCTTTACATGCTGCACAGGTGATGCAAAAAGAAAATATATGAACAAAATGAAACTTGTGTCTTGTACAAGGGAGATGCATATAAATATGTATAACAGAAAAGATGGTATCAGAGGCAAATAATGGGATAAATTAAAGCTCTCTTTTGTGTAGCCCAAATTAATTTTCTGTAATTAAAGGCAATACTATGATATACTGCTTGGGTTTAGACGCTTCCAATTCCAGATTAAAACATTTTGCAGACACAGTTTTTGGAAAAAGTTCTTCTGAACTCTGTCCAGATATAAGCAGGGTGCTGCTGGTCCAGACTACTTCATATTTTAACAAACGTGTATCTTGGCTGTTTTCTTTGTTAGAAACAAACTAGGAAACTGTCCAAATAAGCTAGCAGAAAATTATCTCGGGAAGAGCTGATGGAGGCATCAGCATAACCTCTTGTAATTACAGTTTGGGTGAGAAGTAGAAAGTGATCTGTGAATGTTTGTTCAAGTTCTTATTCAGCTGTACTCACAGCTCTGTATCCACTGGCTGTTAGCAGTAATAGGCTGTTCTTGTGCAAACAGTCATAAAACCCCCATTTGAAATAACATAATCAGTGGTGAAATGTGAAATCTGCAATTTGTTGTCTTACTGCATAATCTGTAGTGGTGTTTCTGTGCCTTCCTCAGATCATTTTATTAGGTGATCATTACAGAGAAGCAGTACTGCTCAAAATTGTTTGAAATTGGGACTGGTTCCATATGACATGCACACACGCGATGTTACCCCTAGTTAAAGCAGTATCTCTTTCACACAGGTAGTGAGAATTTTGCAAATAATTCACATAAAGGAGAAATGGCAAACTCAGTGTAATCATTTTGGAGTATTCCTTGGTTATTATTAGAGAGGTTAATAAAGCTGGTAAGTTGATATAAAGTTGGATGGAGATCCAAGAGAAGTTCTGTTACTTCACAACTGAAAATATAATATCTCACTCACGTCACAACTGAAAAAAATGGGAAAATAATTTTCTATTAATGATCAAATTAGGTCAGTACAGGTTAAGGTCAGTAAGTTATATGCTCAGTACTAAATGTAATTAGCATCTCATTAAGTCAAGTAGGAATTCAGGTAGTTTTCATATGAAACATACACACCATTGACACCGAAAAAGAAAGCAACCCTCTCGGTTATTTTCTGCAAAGGAAAGGTTTTCCATATTAGGATATTGCCTTTAATACAAATTATTATTTCATCCCTATGTTTGGCTCACAATGCAATTGTAAATATTTCCCTCCTTGAGCAAACACAACACTAAGGTACCAATAAACTGGCAGCTATTGCTTTGTGCTCCCCACTCTGCACCGCTTCTGGAAGTTGATGCTGCCTGGCAACTTATGTTTCACAGCCAAGGCTTCTTCCAGTTTCTTTCTGAAACTTGCTTATTGCAAGAACTGAGAAAATGGAGGGAAAAACCAGCAAACACAGTCCCTGGGATGTGTCCTCTGACTTGCCTTCTAGTCACAAGCAAGGCCATTAGTGCCTCTGCATCCATTACGTGCATCAATAAAACTGCTGCAGAGCCACTGTGTGCAAAATGAACTGATCTGCACACAGCAACATGTTAGATTTTTCCTCTGCTCCAAAGTCTCCATGGACTTTTCTTGTCCACTCCAGAGATTTCTGGAGCAATCACTTAAGTGGCTTTGTAATGTAGCTATTAACTATATTGATGAACAAATGTTAAAAGAAAATGGCTTGTTAAAGGAATTAAGTTGTCATCCATATTCTGCAGTGTGGTTAACACTATGGGATAAAAGTGGATTTCTCTAATTTACAAAGTGAGGTTATAGACGTTTCAAGTCCATTTAAGATGGTTCTTAAGCTATACGGTCACCTTTATTTATAGCAATTTAAACACAGCATACAATAAAACCAGCAGTAAGTGATTAGACACAAACCAATGATACTCATAAACTAACCAGGCAGTAGTTCTCCCAAAGATGTGAAAATAAAGAAAGGTTGAGGGGAAAAAGCACACTGCAGAGACAAGACTCTCAGAAGAAAAGTGAATTCTGAATACCATGTAGGTAGAACATGTAACAAGTACCACAGAGACAAAACAAGCCATTGTATTGATGCTCCCCATCTTCCCCTGGACAGAAGTGTGGAAATGTGGAATTTACATTTCCATCCCAATAAGCACACACTATGTTCTGTCTCTGAATATCCTCATGCACATGGGTAGTTGAGGGGCCCTTCAAGACCAGCCTGTGTTTTGGTAGGACTGGCAGTGGATGAATCCTGTAGTTCCAAGGTACCAGATTCTCTGTGTGATTTTGCTTATTCTGGTAAATTTCTGGGACCCAAAATACAGGGCAATTCTGAGAATCATTTGAGTGCTCTGTAATGTTCCACAAAGACAATACCTAATGATTACAGAAAATTTAAAGGGAGGTTTTAACTAATGCTAAACAATTAAACTAAATGGTGACACACACTCATTACTTCAAGAGTTTAATAATACATTTCTACCAGCTGTGGCAGTTTGCTGCTTTTCACAGCAAACAAAACATACTTTCTTCCTAAGTGAAGCTTCTGTGGCTTGCATTCTACTGTGGCAAATATGATCATACTTTTCACAAATGTCTTTTATATACAAAAAAAAAGCCACTCTATTTCTTTGTACATTCACAAAAATAGCTTATCTCAAACTAATTGTACCCCAAGGCTAATTCTCAGAAAAACTTCCATTGATGATTGTCAGGCTCTGTTACTGAGCAGGTACCTGATGTTCTGAGCTCAATTTGTAACTTGTGGCATTGAACTACTCATGTAAAAACTTGATCCTGATTAGATAAGGAAAAATTAAAAATTAAAAGTAGGATTTGGCCAGTCCAAAATTTTCTAAATTAGTTTCTTAAGCTATCAAAACTTCTTCAAAAATTCCACTTACATACAATTACTTTGTTCCTAGCTTGAATTATATCTTCAGGTACACTGGACAGGTAGGTCTGTGGAACACTGAAAAATCAAAAAGTGGAGTAGTTTTAGATGGCAGGCTTATTCTGTATATAAGTATAAAGTAATCTAATAAGAGGGGAGAGTAGTACAAAAACTCATTTAAAATCCAACGTGTTCCTCTTTTGTATATATTTTTTCCTAAATTACAAATGTATTTTACAAAGTTTGCTTCATTTTATCAGCACTGTTATAATAATCTTGGCTTATACAACTAAAAGATTTTTGTCTTCTACATGGCACACATAAATGCATGGTCGACTGCCCATCACTGTTACTAAAATCATTAAATAAACATATAATTACTTATTTCCTGCACTTACATATCATTTTGGAACACGCCATTGAAAGGAGTGTCATAGTCTTGAAGCAGATGCAGCAATCAATCCCCTGGCTTGGTTGGCAGGTATAATCTCTAGACATGATAGCATTATTTTGTAACCACAGAGAAGCAGCTTTTCAAATTCTAAACATACATAATATGCTATATTGGAAGTCTGCCTTTTTTAAAAGCTTTTGGTGCTCCCTACCTTAAATATACCACCAGAGAGCATACAGAAGTGGAACCCCCATGAGTCTCTAAATAATTTCAGCTCACGTACCTTTTATTGAGCCGGGCATCAGCAAAAGAAGTCTCATGTCTGTCAGTACTTGATGCAAGCAGAGAGAAACGAGGACAAAGACTTGAAACAGATTAGAAGTAGGAAGTTGGGTTTTTCTTTTTTTTTTTCTTACTTTGCTGTCACTGTAACAACCTTCAGAAAACAGGAAGAGATGAAACAGAAGAAAATGAAGTAGCATTTCACTCTCTTCGTATCCTTTATCATTGTTCATGTACGAACCTATAAACAGAATCAACTGTCTTCAAAAGACAGGCATTTTATGCACCGTACACAATCATATCATTCAGTGACACACACTGCCACAATGGTAGATTGTTTTTCTTTATACCCTTACATATAATTTGCTGATAACTTTACCGTAAAGATCTCTCTTAAAATGTATTGGAAAAGAGGAAAATGGTAGAGAAAGACACTTCCTACTTTTGAAATTATAAATTTATCCAGTATGGGTATTAGCCACCAGCTTCCTTGAATGGTGCTCTGCATTAGGGTAGAAAAACAGTAGCCAGGAGGGAAAATACTTTGAAATGTTAAAAGTGTTTAGGTCATGTTCAACAAACTTCCCTAAAATTTCTGAAAAGCTATAGGGAAAACAGGATAGGGGACAGTCAAAACAAGTGAGAAGAGGTTTAGATTTTATTTGTGGGTTTACTTCCCAACGAGCGCCCAGGTAAAGCGGGCAGCAGAGCCAGCTGTTCTTTAGGCAAATGCCATTTAAAATAGGGACTACAAATGACCACTTCCTCCTGCTATTAGACTGAATCCCAAACTGGAATATGCATTCCCTATTATGTTACAAAATCAGCATATCTGGCCTGTAAAAATCCCTTAGGAACACTGTATTATGGAAGATGTAGCTTTTAACCTTACTCTGATGAGCACCTCTCCAGTTCAGGTGGCTGCAGCCTGTATTTTGTGAATTGGATAGCGGTGAAACTGTAAAGTTAAGATCGTCCACTATCCACCATAGTGGAAGCTCTTTCTTTTAGTAATTCAGATGACAGTCTAATGCCAGATGTATCAGTGGATCTTCACTCTGTGCAGCTTTTTTGATCTTGGAGAGTTTTGCCTGCTGTTTGGATTGCTCTTAGTTTGTTTCTGGACCCTATTTCAGTAGGCTTCTAATTTGGGAGGTGGAGAAATATTTTTGTCTTATTCTTCCTATCTTTCTTGCCTGTCATTTAGTTATTCAGGAGACACACACACACACAAAAAAAAGCCCTTTCACAGGGCCTAGTATTGTAGCTTAAAATCCTTCTAGTTTCTATTACACCCTTAAGTGCTCCCAGTAATTGGTAATAGCAGTGCAAATGCTCAAAATCAGTGAATCTAGAAAACTACTTGACACTGTGAACTACTTTACAATTACTCATGCTGCTTATCCACAGACTCATTCTGTCCATATGGATAAAACTACTTGCAGCAGCTAGTTTCAGCTCTCCTGGGAGATACTTTCCTAAAGGAATGGATTATCACATATAAGTGAGATCTTCTGGAGGAGTAGTGCATGCTACAGTCAACAAACTAACAGAGAAAAAAAGATGCACATCTTAGAATAGAATCCTGGCAGGAATCAAATCATACAAACAGATGATATGGGCATTTTACATAACCAGTCACAACTAGTTTCTCTTCAGTTTTATCACATATCTGAAGTCCATTATATTTTATTCCACTTTGAGACTATTATTATTTTAAGTTAAGGTGAACTTAATTAAAAGGAACACTTTAAACAGCCCTAATAATTACAGCAGAATGCTGGAGCTAGTGACAACTCTAAAACATATATAATCTTTTAAAATTCATTACTTAGAAGACTCAGTAGCAGATCAAATTCTAAATGCTGAAACTGAGAACTTCTTATCCCGAGAGGCTTAAAGAAGCAATAATTGAATAAAGCAAGTTACAACTAAAGCAAGTGACTGCATGGATGTTTACCACTATCACACAAGTTTCAGGGCTTAGCAAAGTCTTTTGAAGCTTGATCTAAAATCTCTAAATCTTGAATAAGTGACTGGAATCCCCTGGACTCCACAGCATCCTATGATTATTCCCATTTACATGGATGCTGTAATGGCTAAAAGTATTTGAACTGTACACTTAATACAGAGGACCAGTATTACACTGCATTAGTTCTATTTGAAATTAAGTGATTTTTGTTTTCTCTGACTAACCAATCTATTTTTGGGCATCACTTCTTAGGCTGGAATCTCTATGTAAGACTACTTATATTCATTTAAGTTCAAAACATTATCCTGCTTAGAGAAACCTGATTAACTTCAGTTGGCTCAATATACAGCAAAATATTTGGCTTAACTATCTGTGAAGACAAGCCTACTGCCAGGTACTACACAGTAGGGAGTATGTGGTGCTACACTGTACTTCACTCTCAATTCAGATCTTAAACCCACACACCATTGGTGTGCATTTCTAGGGTCCAAGAACCTGTGGAAAGGGTTCCTTCAGGAGTCTGAAGCCCTGCATCCTTCAAAGATACTTAGAGGGTGTTAGTCAAAGATGTGATCGAGTGAAAGTAGCAATAAATATCCTATACTAATAAGGAAAGAGATTTTAAAGATCCCACCAACTACACGATTTAAAGTACTTTACAGCCTTAAATTAAAAGAAAGCAATTTACAGGATTGTAAACTAATAATTTTTCTTATGAGGACAATGATGCTAAGGACAGCACACAACACCTTACCGTCAGCAGAAGATACAGATGCTGGAATCATCGCTTCCAGTTGCTAGCCTACCAGTGACGGCTAGCACAAGGTGCCAGTGTTCCTGAACTCCCTTGACTGACTGAACAAAACTTCTACTTAAGTATTAATATAATAAAGTAATAGTGACCCACAGGTGCTTTATACACTACTGGTTTAATGAAAAAGAAAAGTTTGGGAGTGCACCCTACCCACTTTCTAGTCCTCAATTCAAAATAGCAAAATGGAGCTCATACATTTCCGGATCAGCCCAGAAATGACAGTTAATCTTGCTTTACTTCAAAAATGTTTCTGCCTTTGCCCTTGTCTCAGTTTGACTTCATACCTGAAATGTCTCAGAAGTAGTGACTTCACCTTTTCACTTGCTCTTAAGGGATGTATCCGATCTTACAAGGCTGCAAGTTTCACCAGCAGTGTGCACACTGCTATAACCATAGTAGCAAAGTTGAGAGCCTCAGTCCCCTGCAGAATGAGGCTGAAAATGTGTGACTGTCTCATTTCCTGAAACCCTCACAGGCTTTCAATGACAACATTTCTTGCTCAAACTGTGACTTTCAGAAATCTTGCTACTTGTCAAGAAGTCATTGGTCCTGAAGTTTTGCCCTGCTTCATATTAGAACAGAACAACTAGGAATCATCTTGATTGAACTTAGAATTTCTTGTACCATATTCTGAGGAAAATATTTTTGACATTGCACTTCCACAGTTGTGTGGTATGAGCAAAACTGGTTTATTTATTTTTTAAACACTGTACCAGAACACAGTATTAAAACCTGTGAAGTAGAGTGTGATCTCTAATACCTTTCCTTCACTCTAGAATAGCACCGCTTTGATCATTAGTATAGTTTTCTATCTTTTTGGTTCTCTTTTTCTTGAATATCCATAAATGAAAACATTCAAAAGTCTTAATAAGAACATTTTTAGCTAAAATACATTTTAGAGTATAAGTGAACATTGTGTTGGCCCTTTGATCTCTTCATGCAATTTGTATGAGAGAATATTTCCTATTCTACTTCTCATGCTGGCACTTTTCTCAGGTCCAGCCATAAGAAATGCTTTCTAGTTTATTTTCTGTCTTTATTTAAAATTGACACTACTTCTTTCTAAAAAGAAACCGATTGAACACATCTGTTGGTTTTTAGCACTGTTGTTGGCTTCACAATGGACAAAAAATAAAGGATTGTTAGTGCTTACAAAATCTAAAAACCTCCAAGGATTTCCAGGCTTTTGTCCTTTGATCAAATTCACTCCTGTTCATGTCCCTTGTTAGGAAAGAGTTAACAGCCTCCAGCCAGCAGTCTATAATCAACAGGTTGCTCTAACAGAAAATAATAACCCTAATCCGTCTTTTAAAGTTTAGGAGGTTGGACTAAATGATGAAGGAATAGTGATTAAAGCCCTCTTAAAAACAGAAGTGGGGACAGGAAAATGCTGTGTGTTACAGGAACAAATCTTTCTCATTGCTAAGTGAAAGAACCATCACGTTAAGAAAATGATAACTTTTAAATTTCTGTCTCGCCATCGAGAATTTAATTATCTCTCTGTCTGTATAGAATGATAACAAAACACTTGCTAACCTTTTGGTGGCCAATTCAGAGGCAGCTGGAGAGGTTCAGGTCTCTGGAATAGCGTTGGAAGAAAAGCAGCATCCTGTTTTCTTTTTTCAGTGTCTTTCTCTTCTCTTTTTTTTTAAGCATGTGAAAATTGACAGGTGGGTGGTGGGGTGTGTGCGGAGAGAGGAGGGGGTGAAGCCAGCCCACGCCTGGTGTAGGAAGAGTTTTAATGGCCGATGCTGGTAATATGGTTTGCTGCTACAGTGTCTGCACTACTGCAGCTCTGTGTGTGGGCGTAAAGAAACGACACGACTGGGTTTGAAACCATTACACTGAAGATTTGCAAACAGTTAAAAACATAAAAACAACACAACCCCATCAGGCACAAATGAAAAATTATTGCTGCCTTTTCTGTCATCTTTCCCCGAGGTTGCTTTGGTGGGGTTTACGTGTGGCGTTTTTTTCATTTAGCAGATAAAATCCAGTCAAGTTTTTTTTCTCAGCGTCTAAATTAAAAAAAGAAAGAAAAAGGTGAATAAAGTATTTAGGCAGGTTTTGGTTTCACCCAGTGACCACCTGGTTATGGGGTTTGCTGCTTTTTTTTTTTAATTAACCTAAAGACCTTGTATTCCAAAACGCAGCCAGATTTCCACAGTAAAAGTATTCAGAGGACACTTCTATTTCTGCCTTTTATATGCTAAATAGGTACCCAAATCTTGAAAGCACCAAGTCTTATGATACAACAGACAGAGCAGCCACTCCACAACCAACCAGATAGGAAATCTTAGACCATGAAAATTCCCTTGAATATTCCACAAAACACAGCCAAGGAGAAATGGGACATCCTGGCAGCCCATTTGTGTTTGGCAGTCCAGCAGTGTGACAGGCTTCCTCATCCAAATCAGGCAGAAAACAGTGTTTGTTGTAACTACTGCCTATGATGGATACCAACAGGAGTGAGACAGAGGAACGGTTCTCTACATTATCATGGGAGTGAGAGGAAAATGCTATTCAAACTAAAATACAATTGCTATTACAGTATCACAGTATCACAGTATGCTAGAGATTGGAAGGGACCTCGAAAGATCATCTAGTCCAATCCCCCTGCCGGAGCAGGAACACCTAGATAAGGTTACACAGGAATGTGTCCAGGCGGGTTTTGAATGTCTCCAGGGAAGGAGACTCCACAACCTCCCTGGGCAGCCTGTTCCAGTGTTCCGTCACCCTCACTGAGAAGAAGTTTCTTCTCAAGTTTAAGTGGAACCTCTTGTGTTCCAGTTTGTACCCATTACCCCTTGTCCTATCATTGTTTGCCACTGAGTAGAGCCTGGCTCCATCCTCGTGACACTCCCCCTTTATATATTTATAGACACTTATAAGGTCACCCGTCAGTCTCCTCTTCTCCAAACTATAGAGACCCAGCTCCCTCAGTCTTTCCTCATAAGGGAGATGCTCCACTCCCTTAATCATCTTCGTTGCCCTGCGCTGGACTCTCTCCAGCAGCTCCCTGTCCTTCTTGAACTGAGGGGCCCAGAACTGGACACAATATTTCAGATGCGGTGTCACCAGGGCAGAGTAGAGGGGAAGGAGGACCTCTCTCGACCTACTAACCACCGCCCTTCTAATACACCCCAGGATGCCATTGGCCTTCTTAGCCACAAGGGCACAGTGTTGGCTCATGGTCATCCTGTCGTCCACTAGGACCCCCAGGTCCCTCTCCCCTACACTGCTCTCTAACAGGTCGTTCCCCAACCTATACTGGAACCTGGGGTTGTTCCTGCCCAGATGCAGGACTCTACACTTTCCCTTGTTCTATTTCATCAAGTTACGCCCTGCCCAACTCTCCAGCCTGTCCAGGTCTCGCTGGATGGCAGCACAGCCTTCTGTGGCATGCAAGAGAATGTGAATATAAATGGTTATGAATACACTGGGTTTGGGAGAGACAGGTGGAAGCCTTTTATCAGACAAACAAGAACACTTCTCAAACATAGTTTTGACCACAAAGACTTAAATGGAGACAAAACAGTTTTAGGAAGAAGCTTAAAAACTTCAAGAAACCTTTATGACTTGGTAAGGGATGAGCCCTTCTTAAATGCCTGTATTCATGTATGTATGAGAGAAGACATCCAGCTTGAAAACCGTGTGCTTGGACACAAGGTGTATGCATTCTTGAATGTAATGGTTTAGGTGTGCATTTTCTCAAATATTCAAATGAGCCCCAGATCAACCAGGATTTCTATTGCATTTGGTATTCTGCTGACAGAGAACAAAAAGCAGGGCATCTGGATACACAGGCAAAGGGGAATGGGGAAAGAGAGGAGACACTTTGTGGTGCTTATATTGCTGTTTAGTGCTATATAGTATCACTGGCAGTTCTTCACCTCATATCCTGGCCATGGTGTGAAGGAATCAGCTGAGAGATCCCAGTGTCAAGGACCCAGAGCTGAATGCCAAATCCTTAGAAGTCAGTGTGTGAGTAAAAACAGCAAGACTGGATTTGAGACTACTAATCCCAAACTTTAACAATGAATCTGATAAAGGCAGTTATCTCACTACATATGAATCTCACTACAGTGAATTAAAAACAATCTTCAGTTTTATATCTACCTGGTACAAGTGCCAAACAAGTATTACTACTAATACACAGAAGCACAGCCTGACTTGCTATTAAGTGGGGTCTGGCTACTAGCCACAGTAGAATCATAGAATAGTTAGGGTTGGAAAGGACCTTAAGATCATCAAGTTCCAACCCCCCTGCCATGGGCAAGGACAGCTCACACTAAACCACGGCACCCAAGGCTTCGTCCAACCTGGCCTTGAACACTGCCAGGGATGGAGCATTCACAACCTCCCTGGGCAACCCCTTCCAGTTCCTCACCACCCTCACAAGAAAGAATTTCTTTGTTTTATCCAATCTAAACTTCCCCTGTTTAAGTTTGAACCTGTTACCCCTTGTCCTGTCACTACAGTCCCTAATGAAGAGTCCCTCCCCAGCATCCCTATAGAAGCTTTCATGTATACACTAGCTGAGGTCAGCTCCAGCAAAAATTTGCCAGAGAAAAGTCTGTGGCCTTAGCTGATCAGAAAAGTGTGTGTTTAGAAAAAGAAAAGAAATATGGCTCCCATAAGGGTTATATTCATGCAGACTGAGGGCAACTGTATAATATGCTGTAGATTGCAAACTGAAATTGCTTAAATCAATTAAGTAAAATGGGTAATTTCTCTAGCACTGTAAATTTTTGGTGTGTATAGAAGTGCAGAAGACAGGTTTTACCTTTCGTGTTACTTTGTCTTTCTCTAAATTCTAAATTAATCTTTGTGTACTCTCTGCTTAGTGAAAACACTTTCTGCCCAGTTCACCCTGTGCATTGTTAGTGAGTAGTGTCATTTGAATCCGTTACTATAAGTCATATTAAAAAAAACAACTAATTACAATTTTCTTGACCCAGTTTGAAAACTGTAGTAGCAAAATACACAGCCCAAGGCAGTAACTCTAAAAGGTGTGTGTTGGTTAGTTTTGTTTCAGTATGTCATGAACAACTACGTATAGTGACTCTAGTAGTTGTATTTCCAAGCCACTGCAGCATTCATCATTTCTGCCACAGTACTGGCCACTTTGCTGCAGAAAAAGTAACATCTGGAATGTCTGAATGTACCTAATCTTCCTCTGAGGATTAGTCCCATGAAGAATCATTACATAATATTGCTATCAGTCATCACACAGATGTTGTGACTTTTATAGATGTGAACTCCTAAGTTTGAATGTACAGAAGTTGTGGTTCACTGCAAAATTTCCATTTGACCAAAGGCACATTTCCACTATGGTACTTAACATGGGTTTTTTTTCCCCAAAGATCAAGCTCTGTAAATTGACAGAATCTTTTAAAGCAATTATTAAGAATCTGAGAAAGAATGAAAACAAATATAATACTTACAGCAGGAGGAATGAAAAGCATTCTAGAAAATTGACATCCAACTATTGACTGAATTTCAATACTGCATAACATCTATTACGACTCATATGGCACTTTGGTCTGTTTGTTGAGACAGCAAGAACCACCACCCTAAAGAGAAATGTAACCCCTCATGAATTGGTCAGGCCCTACTGAAAAAAAAAGTCCAAGAGAAAAGAACTTTAAGGCAAAAATGTGCTTGAACAGCGAAAGGGAGACAGCTTCATGAGAAGCAAACGTAGGTCTACTTGCCAAAGAAAAGCCAGTACAAGGAGAAAAAATAAAACACAAGGCAAAAGTAATAGATCCCATAGGGAATTAGACTCGAGGGCTGCTGAGAAAATGCTAAGGCAATCACAAAAATGAAAAGATTCAGCTGGTTGTGCTTACAACTTGAATGTTTCCTAAGAATTGAATTTCTTCTTTAAAGTGCTTGCATTATTTTCACACCCATGCAGACATGGGAGGGAAGGCTAGCCTCAAACCATCTCCCATTAAAATCCCACAGAGCTTTTTTGGCAATTGAGATTTAATATGTTTTAGGTAAGGCTCTAAATGCTGAATCATCATCATACAGGCTTGATTTAGGGCTTTATTTGGTTTGGGTTTTTAGTATTAATTCAGCATAAGCAGGTCTGGTGAAGGGCTGTTTTATGGATTAATTCACAGCCAAGAAAAGACTTAAACATCTTAGAGAAAAAGCAGATGTGTGAGTCTAGCTTTGCTTGTAGAGTACCAGGTGACAGGGTAGATATGAGGAGAGCTATTACTCCTTGCTTAAGTCATTCTTTTGCTGACAGTCAGAAGGTTAAAAAGTGAAATATGCTATTGTGCCTTCTCTACAGAATGTTTTGCAGAAGGAACATGAAAGATCTTCCCAGGTCTTTTAGACTGCTGGAACTATAATATTTTCAGGCTTATCACTCACAAATATGAGTAATTACAATTATGATGCACTTAAAAGCAATGTAGCTTTCAGAGTAACAGTTGCTGCAACTCAAAAAGTCACCAAGGCTAGCTGCTTTTTGCACATGTACAAACTATAGTCATCCTAATTTTTCCATCTGTTTCTTGTTTGTCGTAGAAAAGCAGATAACTCCAGGGTTTCTGACAGTATTCGGAAATGCTCTAAAAGCCACCAGCTACACCAGCTTAAATGTACTTTACGGAAAATGGGACTAGAATTTGACAAGGTCATTGATCATTTGAACCAACTTTCAGATCAATGTCAAATATCATTAAAGCATCAACTAGGACTGTAGAAACAGCAGTCCTGTCACCATGACCCCAGGCCAGTACCAGTCACCGAAGTAAGCCCATGTTCCACACCATGCAGCCAACTCAACTATTCTTCTGTTGTTGTTGTTTTCCCCATAAGTTTTTATATAGGTTTATGTGGTTTATGTAGTTCTATGTAGTTGTGTTTTTTTCTCAACATGTTGTCAAGGAAACCTTACTTTCTTGTAGCTTAGTATCCAGCTCTTGATTGCTACAGACACAAAACAATTTAGGATTTTGAACTGATTGATATACTTTCCCACCTCTTAGAATGCTCTTAATTCTATACGCTGGATAGAGTGGAAGGAAAACCTGGTTCTTGAAGATTCAGTCCTTCCAAAATGCCTGTGGGAAATCTGCCAATTAACACTTCTATGTATTAATTTTATTAAATTATTTTACATTTTTTATTTTATAATCTGTATAAATATTTTTACATTCTATCCACTGAAAAATAGCCGTATAATTTTACTGGTATCCTATTAACTTACCTCTATCACGATTCCTCTCATTTTATTGTCTTTGAACAATGTTGAGTTCCTCTTCTTTTGGATTATGTGAGAGTTGCCTGATAAATTTTAGTAATTAAGTTAAAGTTGCACATTCCGTGTATCCCTTTCTTTCTTGATCTTACCTAATATTTACACAGTTCTTCACTGGGAAAAAAAGTACTCTATGTATAATTTATACAGAATTTATGATGCACTCCAGGGAACAGCTGCTCTTCAGTGCCCAGGTGTGCGGTAGTAGTGCCCACTCTGCCCGTGGTTAGCTTCCTGTGGAGCACACTACTCACACCCCCATGGCAAAGCACTAGGTCGGTCTCAGGGTTGGCACCTATTGATTATGTCTCGTCCGTGCTGCCTGACAAGTTCTTTAAGTATGCTGTATAAAACACTCACCTGCTCCGTGCATGCCACACAGGTGTCCTGGTTCTTATCACAGGCTTGAGCATGCCATTCGAATTTTCACCCGCATGAAGATGATCAGTGAAACATACAGAATGGCTCACACTACTGAATAACTTCAATATAAAGGTGGGAACTGGTTGTGTGAAAAGAGTACTTGTGGCTTCCTGTCAGAGTGAAGTATATGATTGCACTGGACTTGTATTTCAGTTGTATATCATGGTAAAAGGTATTTCTGTCATTCTCTCCTTTGGGTTTCATGGAGCTATGCTTCTATCTGTTGTCAAGGAAACACCAATTTTTTTTCCCCCCCTTGCTCATTAATGTCTGCATTTTCGTTTCCATAGCTACAAAGCAACCTGTGTTTTAAAATAGCAGTAATTGGATTACCGTGGCTTTTTGTATTTTATTGACACCACTAATGGCTCCCATTTTCAAAAGCAGACACCAAAAGTGTATCAGCAGTTTTTCAGCTATTAACATTTGTTATCTCTTTGTCCTGAAATACTGGGTACATGCTAAGAAAAGTCTTCAGCATCCAAACACTCACTTCACCCAGCCTCAAGACTCTGTAAATGGGACTCAAAGTTATTTAGTTCTTGACAGGAATGGGCAAGCTGCTGTTGGATTTAAATGCAATTTTCTGCCCATGCTAATAAGTTATATGCAAAACTGTGGAGATTTCACCTGTTTGTTCTTCTGTTACAAGTTAGTAAAGATTCCTTAAATAACTGCAATCAAATGTGACAGTTAACTTTTAATTGTAGGTTTCCCAGACCATGCTTTGCTTCTGAAGTACCAGGTGATAGGGTGGTAATGAAGAAAGCTCCAATTACTCTGGGCTGAATGAGCATCTCATTGGCACAAGCTGTATTTCCAAGCACCTGTTCCACAATGCCTTCATCTTGGCACAAAATATGAGCTGAAATTACTGAAAATAGTCTGCTTTTCAGTTGTATTAGTTTTAATTTCTGATGGGCACCTGCAAATAAATGCAGAGGTTCTGTTGTGGATCTGGGGGGTGTTAACCCCAACATCCATTATGAATAATCTGGGAGAATTTTTACAGCCAGGTATCTAGCCAACTCAGGATACAGGAACATGGAAAAAGCACAAAGAATTGAGAGCACCAGTGGTGCTAAAAACTGGTATTACTTAGCAGGGGCATAACTCATGTTTTCTTAAGAGAAAAACTGAAACTCCTAGACAGGCTGTTCCACGTGTCTGTCTGTATGCAACACTCCTACCATGCTGAAATTGTTACTATGCTGTCTTTTAACACTTCTAATTTATTTGCTACAATGTACTTGCCTATTTGAAGTCTCTACAAAGCACCATAAATCCATATTCTGTACTTCTAGCCTTCCTTTTTGGTATCTCCCTTTCCTCCTGCCCCCAGCATGGCTTGTCCCACACTCCCTAATTAGGAGTCACCCCTGTTGTGGCTGTGCCTGGCCAAGCAGCAGGGTTTCTGCACTCTGTCTGCTGAGCCCCAGTCAGCAGACACATACTAGTCCCACAGTCTAACTTGATTAAAATTAACCCACAGTTTAAAATGTTGCAAGAGGACAGAAAGAATGACTGGATATCACCTGTTTTTTAGAAATACAAGCTAAAGAGAGTCACCAGCCTAAAAAGTCTAGATATAATAAAATAGTGACAAGGGTTAGACACAGATAAGTATAAACAAGGAAATCCCTTTAATTTAAATATTAGTTCCTACTTTTCCTAAGGACTTTCTGTGCATCCTTGAGGCTTAAACATTATATTACCATAGAAACAGTATCCTGTGTCATTGTGGACCTTACTGTAGCTTGTGCTGTTATGGAAACAGTCATCTGAACAGCTGTCCTCATGTTATATATTTCAGTTATTGTGTTTGTAAAGATCCATTTCTAGACTATCCTTTCAGGATTCATTTTAATAAAAACTAATTCTCTAAAGTATTTAACAATTTTATAAACACCTTAAGGCTGCTCTAAACTAAAAATACAACATTAGAACAGAATTTATATTAAGATTACAGTGTCCTTTCAGTAATTACCTTTCCAAATCTCTGGCATCTGCAGAGGTTTGGGGGCAAAGATGGTCTGTCCTCCCCAGCAATCATTAGTAAAACTATTTCAGGGAAACAAATTTTTTTAAGCCACGTGTTCTGGGCAAGGACTCCTTTGCATGCCTGAGTGGAAATACGAAGGCACTGTGAGGAACTGGGGCTTAGTTGGTTGAACTGGGAACTGGGAATTCTGAAACTGTAATTCAAGGTGAACCATTCTTCCATCTTGCAAAAACCATCTAATATCTTGAAAAAGATACATGTGAGTTGGAAGCTCTACTCCCACTATTTTGTTCCTGGGAATTGAGTCCTTCGCTGATCCTAGAGCTTTGTGAAAGTCTCCTCAACATTTTCACATTTGTAACATCTGAGATACTACAACTTACTTATTTCACAAGAGTTCTGTGGGCATAAGTGTTTCTTTATTTTCTTGAGTAAAGCCATTGCAGAATCTGTGACAGAATAACAAGGTTTTGAGTTAGTGGTCATTTATCACTTAACTTGTCAGATGTAAATAGCTTCCTGACTAATTATATTGACTATGCCACATAGTTGCTACCATTTAAGATTGTAAATGCACACTATCTTTTTTTATTTCCTAATAAAAACATTCTACACCAAGGAGGTTACATCCCACCTCTATATTCCTATACAGAATACTGGTTATTACGGCTTGCAATGGGAGCATTTCCTAACACTGAAAAGATAACTAGAGAGAGCATTTTAACATGTATAAAGAAAACATCCAAATATCACGAATTCACTGATAAAATTCAAATACCTCCACTGAGCTTCAGGGAAGCAGGAAAACAAAAACTACTCGGAAACATGTCAGTTTTGAAACACAGCTAATTTCCCCTCATAAGGCCAGTGATGCAGTGATACCTCAGCTCTTACCATCATTTAAATGGAGTAATGTTTTTATCATGTCCTCCTAATTTAGCCTTCAGTTTGACTCGTTAGGCACTTTCTCTTTCCTAAACCAAACTACTGTGTTCTTGAAGTTAGCTTAAAAAACATTAAAATTAGCCCATCGAATCTCCACCCCCAAAAAGGGGGGCCACAAACGTGACTGTGTGCAGTCTGAGAGCACAGCCACCGGAGCAAGGAGCTCTTGGGCCTCGTGCAGCTTGTAGGCCAGCTCTAAACCCGCATGCAAACTGTCCGTGCAAAACTTGTTGGCATTCCACTGCTGGGACATGTAACAGGACAATTAAGAAGTCAACACAGAATTTTTCTTTTTCCTTCACAATACTTACAGGGTGTGCATGTTATGTGTCATAATTTATTTTGTTGTTCTGTTCACTACTGCCATAGAGAAGAGTTTGTTATCTGGATGGTTACCTGTGAAAGACTCCATCTTCGCAGCCGTGGTATTCCCCCTTGGCTTAGTCAGTAATCTCCATGAACTGTCAGAGCTCTTGGTGCTTTCTCATATTATTTCTGAGAAGACAGAATAAAATGAGTTGCTCAATTTAACTACCCAAGCTGACAGGTATGATTCCATCTTGTTCATCTCCCTAAATTGTGATTGTTCCAGTGAGGCTAATACTGTTCTCCTTCTCTCCATTTATAGCCACGTTTTTCAGAAAACAGATTTTCTGATCTTTATTTTTCAGTATTTCAGGTTTTTGGAATGCACACCCGTTTCTTAGATTCCCTAACAGGCTACAGCAAAATACAGTAATTAAAAAGCAGGCGACATACCATACTGTCAATATAGGCCTTAAAAAATCCCAAGACTATAAGCAGATGAGGTAGGAATTACTTTTTGAAGGAAGTCTTTTCTAAGTGAGCACAGAAAGGATTCAACATCTGAGGTTTGCCTAAGTCTGCGTTCTGCAGACATTTTTTTTCATGTTTTTCATCCTCGCAGTTATTGAAATAATCAGATGAATATGGAACTAAAAAGAATATTCACCATCCCTTTTCTAAAGAAGGGTCTTTCTTACAGGTAGATGTTGTTAACTTTTGTTTAAATCCATGCAAATTCCTTGTATGAGTGTCCAGATGGTTTTGAAAGTACTCCTCTAATTTTATCAGCGAGAATTAAGATCTATATGACACACCGAAATACACATTTATAAAAGGAAGACTGATTTTGGAGTAACTAAATTAAATTCAATTAGTTTTAGTTGCTTGTGCTCCTGGGTTGTCTCCCAGTTCTGTGTTTAATGACGCTTAATGCAGGTTTTTATTAATATCATATTTTTACTTAGAACTTGCCTTGCCTGCTGCTTTCATTACTAATGTATCTGGCAGCGTCAGTCCCTGTTGGAGTCCATATGCTCAGGGGAGTAGTCAGCTGTTCAGACAATATTTGTTTTTTCTGTTCCTATGATACTGTACATTTGGGAGCCCTTTACTTGCAAGATACAAGGTATGAATATCTTGTTTAAAAAGAAAAGTTGCTGTAGCTGCTTATACTCTTTATCTTACTTTTTTATAGAGCTTGATTTCTAATAATTACTGGTTTACAGTATTTTATGCATTTCAGAGAGCTGCTGTAAGTTTGGAGGTTGTCACCTGTAGAAAGTGTATATAAAACCAATTCTTATGTCTGAGCTTGGAAGCCATACATTGACACAAGCCAAGAAGGTCAAACTCCAGTTTTGCCATCACTAACCTGCTGGAAAAACAATGCATATCCTATTGAATTAGTGCAGCAGAACTGATAGAAATATTATTTACTTGTGCAGCAACTTGAAGTAGTTCTTAAATTACTCAAGTTTAGAGAAAAAAATAGAGGCAGCTACTAAGAAAGTGCTTTAATGTACACTGTGCAAGGACTAGATATGAAAAATTACATTTTAGATGGTTGTTTTGTGAGAAGACAAGTAACTTTTAAAATTACTTTATGCAAATATTTATTCCTTTTCTAAATATTTCAAACTTCAGTTTGTGGCTGTCAACGTTTTAGACTCTATACACACAGAACAAAGAATATATCAGTGGATGCAGCAGTGTGTATATCCTGAAGAGATGGATGGCATTAATCCAATATGGCTTAATCATCCTATGGAAAGTGCTTTGAATTTAACATTTTGTTCATTTTTGCATATTGTTTATTCCTTTAATTATTGCTTTTGCTGAAACACTAAGCTGCAGACAGCTTAGTATATACAGCTTAGTTTCAGTACTGCAGTAAGTACAGGCATCATGATGATGAAAAAGCTTTTGTCTCCCAAAGTGCTAACTAATGATTACTAATTAATTAGCGATGCACAAATTAATAACAACGAGGATGGGGAAGGCCTAGAAGAGTCCAAGTTTCTGTGCCTAAGAATCGTCGTGTGCACTGAACACTTTCCATCCTTGATACAGAGTACCAGCAATAGCATGGAGAAAACCAAGTGTACGATTTTACAGGTATACTGTGTGCACAGGTAGGAGTTAGGGCTGTGCTGACATTAACTTGGTATTCCTGATGAAGTGCAACACTTCTGTGTGTACCAGACTTGTACAAGCATGTTGAATGTGTTTGACTTTGGATCAGGACAGTTCTAGAGAATGTAGTGGAGTTCTTTTCAAGACTCCCAAGACTGGAAATATCCCCACATATTCCTTTGGGTTTGTTTAAGTGCTATGTAATATTTCACACTTAAGTATTTTACAAGAATCCATAACCTGTAGTAACTGTCAGACAGCAATTACAGTACACAGCAGATTCACACATTTTATCTAGCTGGACTCTGCCCCTTGACTTTCATCACACCATCTCAATGTCTTTGATTTTATGGAATCTGTTTATTAGTTGAAAATGTTTATTACAGATTACCATGAAACAAAATACTTTTGTCCCAACTGTGCATGAAGAGTATTCCATTACTTTATTTATGTAGAAGATATTTGCATTATGCTTCCATCTTAAACTCTCCTATGAAATTAGTTATTTTTTGAATTTGTTTTTTATCGTTTATGCCTTAGGTTGGATGAAATACTCTTGAAAACCTTCAGAAGACTACTTGGAAAAGATACTGTTTTCAGTGAAGCTACAAGCAGGAAACTACCACTGGCCTGGTAAGATATCAAAACTTTTAAACCCTTGGAGTGCCTTGTACTTCATCCCTAGAAGGGAAAGGGCCACTCTCCGGTGTGATTTTTCACTTTTGAGCTAGCTGTTTCTCTCTGGATTGTCAGTTCTACCCAAACACCACAATATCTTCTCAGCTTGGAGCTTGGAATTCCTGCTGTCAAGGCCAGCTGAGAAGGTTAGGACTGAGCCTTAATTGCTGCTGCTATTAAAGATCCAAGGCCTGTAGTCCCAGAGATGAAAGGTCTTGTGCTCTTGATTGCTGAGACTGGGTCCTCCCCCTTCAAAAGAGGTGTTAAATACAATCCCAGTACTAAAGACAGCATAAGTAGACTTAAATCCAGGATCTAAGTTTTCTCAGGCCCACAAAATTTTGAACAAGACTGGTTTAATGGCTTGCTTTCATCATAGCTCTGTAGTCAGCCATTGACAGAGGTAAGCTAAAGGTGTCTCGAGAGTATTTGCTTATAATTGATCTGATAATTGTCTCTGTGATAGTTAAGGTGTCAGCACTGATGACTAAGTAGCCACTTTCATGCAGTAGTCTGTGCATGAAGAAGTCTCAACTTTTGTTTCCAGGTTGCAATTTCTCTAAAGCATGTCACAAGATAGCTGATGGAATCCAAGATTTCTGAAACAGGGAGTTTTATATAAATTTTGAATAAAAGAGCAGTATTTGAAGACCATGGGTTATGTTTGTGTCTTAACATGTAATATGTCACAACCATGACCTGTCATCACTGGTTCTTCAAGAACTGCATTATAAATTTGCATTCAATGAATGTTTGACAGCATTTGTGTTTTATAAGAAATGTTGTCATCTTTAGATTTAAACAAGAATCAGAGGTAGTGAAGAAGCATGATTATTTCCAAACAACACAAACACAATTTCAATGTACTTTAAAATATATGGTTTTGTCTTTAATTGTGCTGTTACTGTGCTTGCTCATGAGTTGTGGGTGATAACATGTGATTATCATCTGCCTACTTGATCACATGCACATTTGTGATGCTTGCGGGAGAAAACATTATCTGGCTGGTAACTGTCATATTATGCAGAGTTTAGGAGACTGTTTCCCAGACAACAGAATAGTCATATTGCATCCATGAACTGTACGCCATTGTGCATCTGCACTGAACTCAAACACCAAGTGGCAGCTGCTGCTCCCACTAATGACACAGACAAGATGGAACTGTTTGTATAGTCATAATCAAATCAAACTACCTGAGCTATGGAAGTCAAGGAAATTGCACAATTTCATAAAAAATCATTTAAAAAAATTAAAATTCATGGTTCTAATGAGTCATGCAGCACATATATTGTCACAAATTTTGAGTCAGGTTTTAAATTGAAACCAAATCACTCAGTCACCAAAAGCCATTTAAGGACTCTGTAGCTGCCTGCTTAAGAGTTCTGCTGCAAACCATAAATAAAGCGCACTCATGTAATGTGGTATGAATATGTTAAACAAACCACCACAGACAGCAGGAGGAAGACCTAACCTTAGAGTAGCCAGTATGCTAATGCTGAGGCAATGGGAGGGCCAGCTGGGTGTGACTGCGTGCATACTGAGTTTTTACATTTTGTATGTTGTCAGGTGGGAGAGAAAGCTGATAAGAAAAACAATTATTTGCATTCATCTTATATAAACAATATTAGAGACTGGTTGGTGTAGACGGTGTTAGACAGTATGTTTCACAACCGCAGTAGGTGTGTCACGTGCTTGATAAGGAAGGTACTTGGCCAGTTTTGCATTTGAGGCAACAGTACTCTGAAGGTGTGCAGCCTTAGGTCTCTTAGAACGTTTTCTGGCAGAATAAAATAAAAGGGATCTGAAAATCAAATGTTGGCTCCATGGCTACTTCCAGATCATTCTATTAAATGCATTTTTTTAATATGCCCTAACTTAAACTAAATCTTCTAAAGCAAAGATAATGTCTGGGTTTGAATTTTCTTTTTTGGGGAGAGGGGATGTTGGTGAGGTGGTTTGGTTTGGTTTGGTTTGGTTTGGTTTTCCAGGGTGTGGTGGGTATTTGGGGAAGGGAGAGACATTAACTGCTAGGGAACAAAAAACTCAATCTCTCTGATGGTCTCAGCTTCAACAAGCTCTAATTTTTACCCCTTCTAGGTTTCCGGATGCAAATTTACAGGTGTAGACAGCAAAGGCCTGTGATTTGTGTATGCAACTCTTTGTGTAGATAGTTAGCAAAGCAAATGTGCTAGTGTGTAAAAATTGACAAAGGAAGTGTGTGTGACTTACTTCTAAGCTTGGCCTTTTCTGTAGGGCAGGCACCTATCCAAAGTTCAGGCAGTTGTTGTAGGCAGAGAGGTCTGTTGTTGACAGAGAGATCTGCAGCCTTGAGAGAAAGGCATGCTGTTGTTCTGTCCATTTGCTGTCACTGCCATGGAGAGATCCTTTGACTCTCAGCAAAACATGACCAGACCACAGTTGCTAAAACTGTCCAGTGTTGAAGTAATTTATGCAACCTGGTAAGTCAAGTTGATGAGTTAGTAATTTGACTGCTTTATTGAGTAAGTGGAAGCACCAGTACGGAGAGACCTCCTTCCCACAAAAACATCTCAGGTGGCTTTCAAAAGATCATGTAATACTTCAAAACTCAGAAATTACTTGGGGAGCCAGACTGTTTTAAATGTGCCTGAGAAGGAAATGAGCAGCATTTTGAAACAAGAAATACATTTGTACTAGTATTGTTAAGAAATTACATCTTTTCTGTTTTTTTTTCAGCTCCCTGTATCACCATAATAGAGAGCATCAGCACTTTTTGACTATGGCCTTTGTACAACAGCTGTGCATGCATACAAATATATGAAACTTTTAAGTGGTAGAAAAATAATATATATTAAGAAATTGCAGGAAGAATCCTTTTATGCAATCAATATTGGAAAACAAATTCTGGATCTGCATATAAGTCTGTGGGAAAGGGTTAGTGCCTTACTGGTTTTAGTCTTAAGAAGGAACTATATGTCCCCTTTTTATGACACAAAAAATAGAATATGGCATCTGAGGATGAATAATTCTTACTATACACTCTGCCTTTTGTGTCATCTTTTTTCCCCCAAAAGACAAGAAAAGCTGCCTGAGACAAATTTGTATGTTGTGCTTTGCACTCACTGCATTTCATTGCTGCAGTAAGACATGTACGTGAGCAGTAGCACATACATCAGATTGTACATGTCTGGGTTCAGTATTGCCTCATGATCAATTGACTTCTCTGTCCTTTATTTCCATTCCATAGGTTTACATATTATTTAATTTTCTGCATAAAAAAAAACCTTCTGGCACGGCAAACATGTTTTGAATCAGTATCACAGGATTCCTGCTGCCTGTATTTCACTTGTCCTTGCGATGAAGACAAATGTGGAAGGTGATCATACAACAATGCTGCAAGATTGTTGTTTATATACAGGTTATCTGAAAACTCCTGGGTTTTTCCAGTCCTTTGGGAAGGCACTGGCAGAAGCAATACGTTTTTGGACGCATGTGTTTATTATTCATTGCAGGCTACCTATGTCAGAGATCACATTGCCAGTGACAGTTCTTTTTATCCTTTCGCTAGCAGGGCATCAAGTACATGCTGGATGGGAAGCCTGTGGTGTAAAATACTGTGGTGAGTATGTGCAGGGCTACTTAGGTGATACTTTTAGAAATGATTTAAACTAATCTAAGATGATACTGTTGTCAAACTGTATGTGGCCATAGGTTCCTGTCTCACTAGTTTGCTGCTGCTGCAGTCATGCAGCTGAGCAGCCAGTAACAGCAGTAAACTGGCCCAGGAGTAAGTCAGGTTTTTCGTAGGTTTATGTTTTTGCCAAACTAACCAGGCTTAACTAGAGGACACAGAAGGGACCTTTTTATTATTATTTGGGGATGTTTCATTGCTTTTATGTTGATTTTTCATTAATATTTTTGAAATATTGGAAAAATAAAAGTACTGATTGTATCTTTCAGATTTGTTCCCAGCAGGGAATTTCTGTCTGGAGCACATTTTAGATTGGAAGCAGTGGAATAATTTATTTCTGCAGAAAAATACACTCTGGATTTAGGGGTGGGCAGCCCCTTGAGAGTAGTTGCTGCTGGGACGCAGAATCAGAGTAGGGATCTTGGGCTTTCTCACATGGCAAAGCTCAGAGGTGTGGAAACCTCGTGGTGGGTTAGTTTATGAGACGGTAAATCCGAGCCCTTTCTCTCTGATGGAATAATTTTCTCGCCTTCGCGTGGAGAACCTCATGGAAATCTAGCCCCCTCTTGTGGTTTTTCCAAACAGAGGGTGTGAATCGATTCGAACTTGGTTCCAAGAACAGATATACCTGCATCTTTTCTCTGAAAGTTGATATGGTTATTGGTATTAGTCCCAGGATATAAAATTATAATCTTTAATTTTTTTATTTGCTTTTCACATGCAACTTCACAGCCATTTTCACCAGAACATAGGGGAAAGGCATTTGTTGGCTATTTCTGTAATCTCACTTTTCTTCAAATTGAGGGAGGAAGAGTCCTAAATACTGAAGGATAAAGACTCTCCTGATTGACTGAGAAAGTACAGAAACAAACACAGGCATTTGGTTGTCTTACACTGATCTGTGGTTTATTTTGGGTTGAACCAACATGGATGATACTAACAAATACCAAGTCAGTGTTTGTTAGTGGATGAAGAACAAATGCACTGACCTTCTAACACTGTTGAATGTGTGAACCCAAGCTGTGATTCCAGAAGGCATTCCAGGGAGTCCACAGCACTGGCTTACCCAGCCCTGACCCCTTGTTCTTCACCTCAGGCCTCATTTGCAATACCAGCATGGTCGTTGGATGATTCTTCAGTTCCATTTATGGTTCACTATGCAGAAAACAGAAATTCAGCTGCACTGTTCCCTTACAGCACTTCTCCTGGCCATGTGAACTGCTGTTCCAGAGCAACATGAGCAGCAGATCGAGAATAGGAGTCACTGACCTCAGAAGGCACCTGCTCCAGCCAGCTTAACCAGCTTTGGCAGAAGTTGAGAAATCAGCTGTATAGAGCCTAGTCTGACCCTGCAGATACCTTGACTGAGGCAGGTAGCTTTAAGACAGTACAGAGCTCACTGTCCCTTCCCTCTGCCCTGGGTCAAATGATGAGTCCAGACCTCAGGTGCAGCAAGGAATGTGAGACTGTATCAGTTATGAAGAAGGAAGGTTAAAGGCTGTGGAGTGGGAGACCATCTTGCTGAAGCAGTGAGAAGCATCTGTAAGGACTCAACATCAGCAGTGGAACTGCTAATGCCATGCACAGGAAAAAACTGGTAAAGAATGCTGGTTACTTAGATAAAACCACATCTTCCGTGCAAAAGAGGGAATATTTTTATTCCATCTGTGTTTTTCTGAAGAGAGAGTGCTCCATCCCTGGCAGTATACAAGGCCAGGTTGGACAAGAGCCTTGGGTGAGTGACATGGTCCCATGGGCAGGGAAGCCTCGCACTAGACCATGTTCCCCAAGGCTTTGTCCAACCTGGCCTTGCACACTGCCACTTCTTTGGGCAACCTGTTCCAGTGTCTCACCACCCTCACAGGAAAGAACTGCTTCCTTATATCTGACCTCCTCTGGACTTGCTTGAATAGGTCCATGTCCGTCTTGTGCTGAGGATACCAGAACTGCACACAGTGCTCCAAGTGGGGTCTCACAAGAGCAGAGGGGAAAAGATAATACAATCTTCTAGTATTTAATTCTTGGTCATAAAAATGAACACTGTATTCTCTAGATGCAACATGACCAACGTAAAGAATTCTAATATTTAAGATGTGCAACTTTTTCCTCTGCAGTTACAAATGAGAATTTTATTTCCCTAAAGTCTGGGTTTATTTTAAAAGTCAGGTTTATAAGTAGTTTGGCCCTTGGTATCACTCAAATACAGAAACTCACTTAAATACAACTTCTGTTAAAATAAACTGAATTTTATCTGAGCAAGAACTTTGGAGATCTAGCTCCTAATCTGCACCATATGTTGGCATGTTTCCTTCTTGGAGATGTCATTTTGCTTTGCTTCCAGCAGTTAACATTTCTTTTACAGATAAAAAAAAACCCTGATGAGAGACTACAGATAGCCTAAGGGATAGGGGATGGGTATCTGCTGAACTGCCAATGTCTATTTGAGGGTCACCATCTTCCACAACTATGTATTGCATTCTGAGACCTTGCAAAATGCTTAGCATTATTAACATCCTTTGCAAAATTCTCCAGTTGCAAAAATCACTCAGTGGGTATTAAGACTAAAATGTATTTAGAAGTGTCTTGCAGTCTTCCAGAAATGACTTTGTACAAGATGATGGATGACTAGTATGTTCACAATGCTTAGGGATAGTGCTGTGAGGTGGAAGAGTCTTTCCATAAAGTAAGATCAAGATAGGTTTCTCCAGCAAACACTCTCTTAGTCCTCGCTTAAGTATCTGCTGCTGACTGCATCTGGTAGTTTATCATTAAATAGTATCTTCTCTGTATAATGGCTTCTGTATTGGATGTTCAGTGCAAACAGGAATGCACAGGAATGAATATTCATTGAATCTGAGCTTTTCCACAGACTGGGCAGGATTTCTGGCATGGCAGAAAGATGACAGAAATCTCCCTGTGTGTAGTAACCTGTTTCTGGGAAATTTCTATTTGAACCTTTTCCAGTGACGCCGTTGTTGTGTAGTTACGAGTACCTACTAGTCACTCACTCTTTGAGAATGGTGAGCATGCAAGGCTGTCCTGCTGCCTCCCTGTTTGAACATGCAATTTCTACACTACTCAAGGCACTTTCAGTATTGTTATCTTGAGAATTTTAAACGAAAATGCTTGATGATGAGCCACAAACTGCATACGGGTTGGTCTGTAGTTGTGGCTGGTTTCCTACTGCTTTATTGATCTTGTAAATCGCTTCTCGTTTATTCCAAGAATGAGTAAAATGGCTCACAACAGTTGGTTGAAACCCTTCCATTCTGGAATAGCCTGCACGTTACAGACCATCCAAAAGAGCGAAGAGGCTGTTTTGTAAGTGTTGGTTATAAAACAACTTCCAGGCAGCGCGCTTACAAAACGAGTTGGCTAAGGACTCCAGTAAGCCGCCCCGGGCGGGGCACTGCTGACCGCTCTCGGTCCGCGCCTTTGCTCTCCGTCCAGCACAGCCCCGTTGTACCCCCGATGCTCGCCATGATCCCCGCGCCTCGGCGCGTAACGGCTCATCCCGAAAACAGCCCGCGGCTCCTGGCAGCCCGAGCGAGCATAAAACGTGCCTGAATTCCCGCTTCAACCGAGCACGCGCTGCAGGAGCTAGCGGGACACGTTCCTGGATCGTGCGCGCTCTGAAGCGCGGGCACCACCCCGCGCCCCAAACCCGGCTCCTACCCGCGAGCCTCGGCCCCGCCTCCGCACCCTGACACGCAGCCCCGCGCAGGCGCACTCGGTGCGGCCGGGCCTCCCGACCGAGAGCCCTCTGCCTGACTTTCACTCGCCACGTGACTCCTGACGCCAGGGCTGCGCCGCGCGACGATTGGATGCCAGCGTTCCGCGCCCAAAGGCGCTGCTGTGTCTCGTTGCCGACCGCGCAGGCGCAGCAGCCGCCGGTGGCAGTGCTGGGCCCTGTGGGTACCGGGCCGGCGGGGTGTGAGGGGAGCGCGGTAGCGGCGCCCCCAGGTCCTTGCCCCCGTCGCCGCCCGGTGCCCGCCGCCATGAAGATCTGGACCTCGGAGCATGTTTTCGAGTGAGTGCGGGGCGGGGGAAGGCACGAGGGGAGCAGTAGCGCTGGGCTCAGGGATGGCGGCCGCTCCTCGCGGGGGCCAGGGGCTGAGGGGGCTTCCCGGCCTGCAGGCCGTCTGGCCCGGCCCGGTGCAGCGGCCCTGCGCCCGCCGTCGTGATCGCTCGCCTCACTTGACCTTCCCCCTGCGCGTCCTTGCGCCGCGGGGTCACTCGCCGCGGGGAACCGCTCGCCGGTGTCGAGGCACAACTCCGAGGCATGTGGCCGCGGTGGGCAGAGCACCAAGCCTGCTGCCAGGCGGGGGGCGCGGCTGGGGCGCAGTTAAGCTACCAGAACGCGGGCACCGCTGCCGACTTGGCGGGGGCCTGCCGTTAGCCGGGGGCTTCTGGAGAGGCGTAGCCTGTGAGGCTGTGGAAACCGTTTCCCTCTGAACCGGGAGGCGTACCTACTGTGTCGGCCGTGGTGAAGGTCGGCTTTGTGCTGCCCTTGCGTCCGGGTGTAAGCCTGACCGAAGTGTTAGGAGTCCATTCGTGTTGTTGGGGCGCCAGTGCCCCAGAACACCTCTGCCGAAAAATAATCCGAAGAAATTACTTGTTGGAGGAAAGTAACATTAATAAATTGCTCCAGTGTTCCTGAAGCCTCATAAAAGTTGCATTCTTTCAGCATTATGTCACAGGGAAAACATTCATACTGAATTAGAAGCCACAAGGTAGTTGAGCTCAGGAGTCCTGATGAATCAGGTGTGTTGTATGTGACCTTCTATGTACCTCTACCCAACCTGCAAAATGGGTGTTTTCCTTTAGGGAAGGGTATTTGTGGGGTTGAGAACTGGAAATTGAACTGCTTTAAAAATACCGTTTGATTGATGTGCTCATTTTTACTACAAATCCCATTTAAAAAAAAGGTGTACAACTCTGTCTTGGTTCTGGTTTGGCAGCCACCCCTGGGAAACTGTGACAACGGCTGCCATGCAGAAGTACCCAAATCCCATGAACCCCAGCGTGGTCGGTGTCGACGTGCTGGACAGACATGTCGATCCTAGCGGGAAGCTGCACAGCTACCGGCTCCTCAGTACGGAATGGGGAATACCTTCCATTGTGAAATCGGTATGTGTCTTGTCACAGAGCTTGGGAAGTATGCCAGAGGGTGAGGGAAGCTTGTGAGTCAGGTGTTGTAATAGATGCGTATAATTTTATAACTGTAATGGTTTGAAAAGATAAGCGTCTTTTCTGAGGAAAGCTCAGCAGCAGTACACACAGGGACTTCCTCATAGCAAAAGATTGCCCAAGCCTTAGATTGCTTCCATCTTGAAAATTGTATCTACCTCAACTGAATAATTTTTTTAAGCGAAACTGTAATTCTGATGTCTCAGTGTTTGATACTTCTGTCTTTAAAGGCACTAAAAAATATCAGCTGGTTTGTGTGATAAATGCTGTATATGTTTGCCTGCCTTCTAGCTTATCGGCACATGCAGAACAAAGACCTATGTGCAGGAGCACTCTGTTGTTGACCCGGTGAAAAAAACAATGGAGCTTAAATCCAGCAATGTAAGTAGCTGTGTTTGTGCAACTGAAAGAGACTGCAGATTATAATACCTTGTAAATTGGAAAAGGAAATTAATCTTGAAAATGACCTGAAAATTGCACTAGAACAATACAAGTTAAAGGTTTATGTAACGTTTCATAGTGGACCAGTTCTGCTTTGCAGAAAGGTGCTAATGGCTTTTTGGAACTTGTCAGGAAGGAAGAATCTGAACATGCTGATGAGCAGGACAGGAGTAGTTTTGGGGGAAGAGAAGCGTCAAGAAAAGGAACTTCTAAAAGCCATTTGGTGTGCACTGTCACCGTTTCCTAATTTTTCTCTTTGTACTGCCCAGTCCCACTGTTGAAATGTTATAAATGGGGTAGTTATAATGGTAAATGTCACAGAAACTTAAGGAAACGGACCCAGATCAGCAACTGCTGAACTTGGATTTTTCAACCTAGAGAAATCTCAACCCAAATATTTGCAGGGAAAGTACAATGTTTAATCTGACATAGAAGCGTAGTTTTGACTCTGCAGGTTTATTTCCTACTTTTGTTTAATATTTTTATCAAGGGGTAATCTTGTTTTGTATTTTGCAGATTTCATTTACAAATCTAGTGTCAGTAGATGAAAGGCTTGTCTATAAACCACACCCTCATGACCCATACAAGTAAGTATGTCTGTGTTCTGACATTGCCCAGAAGTAGTACAGAGTCTGACTTTGAAAATTTCCATGGTTTCCCTTCAACAGGAGATGAGGTTTACACCTTGTCTCGAAAAGAATTAAGTGGACTGCCATTCTCTCTGGTGACACTGTTTCTGCAGAGCACTGGTGGGACACTCAGTGTCACACTATGATGGAGCCCAGTTCAGATCAGCTCTTCGGGTGTTGTCTTGTGTCCTGTCAGTAACTTGAGTTTGTATTCTGCTTCAGTTATGATGCCCTATTCCTGATCTCCTTATCTACCTGAGCACAAAACGTGCACTAGAAGGCACATCTATCTCCCTGTAGTGTATAGTTTTTGAGGTTTGGGTTTTGGTGTTTAGTTTGTTGGTTGGTTTGGGGTTGTTTTTTTGGGGCAAAATTAGAGCTTTCTGAGTCTGTATTGCTGGAATTACTGATAATTCTGAAGGATCTTTCCAGAGATTCTAACATAAGAGGGTTTTTTTCTTTCTTGGTCAGAAGTGTTAAATCCCTGTTGTTGAAGGGGATGTTTTAATGCTGTTTTCCCAATATACCTTCACTCCAAATCTGCTGTTTTCACTCTTCCAGCTGCTAAAGATGCATGAAGGGACACTTCCACTTTGTGGAGACTCATGGATTTTATTTTATGAATAGAAGCATAAATCATAGAATGGGTTGGAAGGGACCTTAAAGCTCATCCAGTTCCAACCCCCTGCCATTAGACCAGGGTGCTCCAAGCCCCATCCAGCCTGGCCTTGAACACTGCCAGAAATGGGACAGCCACGGCTTCTCTGAGCAACCTGTGCCAAGGTCTCACCACCATCACAGGGAAAATCTTCTTTCTAATATCTAATCTAAATCTACCCTCTAATAAAGCATTTGTACAATGTGGAAATGGGTTATGTTTCTGGGGAAGTTCTGTGTTACACAGCAAAGCTGATAAGGGAATGTTTGTTGGGAAGGAGTGAGTTTCTTTCAGCAATGCATTATTTTTTAAGCTACTCAGAATAATTCTTTTTCTTGCTGTGTTTCAGAACCATGTTGACACAAGAAGCAATAATATCAGTAAAAGGTGTAAGTCTTAGCAGTTACTTAGAAGGGCTAATGGCAAACACAATTTCTTCCAATGCTAATAAAGTAAGTATGATCCTTGTGTATAATGTGTGACCACTTGCTAAAGGACAAAGGGGAAAAAAAATTCTGTTTTACTTTTTGGCTTTGACAGCAGCCTTGGGAAGGGCCCGCACAGTTCTGCTGTCTTTACTGTAGAGACTGGATGCTCAGCTTGCTGAACTTCCTCATTTTTATTTTTTTTCCTCTTGTGAATGAAGATAATAAATTATTATTGGCAAAGCTCCCTGACTCTTCACTGGAAAAAAACATCTCCACTCAACAGGTCTGGCACTGTCACGCTTTTGCTGCCCTCCTGATGGCATCCATTAGTTTTTTGTTATTGAAAAAGACAGATCTGAAGTAGCTGTGCGGAGTAATGAAGTGGTGTTTTAGTTGAGGGTTCTGTAGGAATCCAGAGATGTCTTGAGTTCAGCCTCAAGAATGATAAAACAATCTGGATAAAAACTTTCGTGACTCATAATGTGAGCAGTGCTCACATAAGGAATTTTTTTCATGGAATGTAAGGCAGGATGTGTTTCTGCAGTACTCCAGTTATTTAAGTAAAAAGTACCACAGAGGCCTGTATTTCTGTACCTTTCCTTTGGTTTCCAACTATTGTGTCTAGTCGTTTTCAGCAAGACAGGGTGGAACCTGTTTATTTACTAAGATTTATACGCTGATAAATTTTTCTTTAATTGTAGGGCCGTGAAGCGTTGGAATGGGTAATTAATAGGCTGAACGCAGAGATTGAAGAGTTTGCAGCTTCAGCAAGAGGAACCATGAGGAATTCAATGGCAGCAGCAGCATTTGTAGAGAAATGACAGTAAATATACCTGTATTACTAAGGAGGTTTAACAATCTGAAGCTTCTCTCCAAGCCTAAATACATGTATCCTTTGTTATTTAAAGGCATACCTGTGTATTAGGCAGGTTTTAAATTTAATTTTGAGGAAAAACTGCATTCTTACTAAGGAGATTGATGGCAAAGCCCAGGTAATATATTGGTTCAGCTGAACCAGGTTTTGGTTAGAGATGACGAAATAATTTCAAGTGTAGTTCCTTACATGAACACTAACTTGTAATGTTCTCAGATATGAAATAGTCTCGTTTGGTGATGAGGCTGCGTATGGTGGAGAAGACTGCATGTTAGGTTAACTTCTGTGGAATTTTTATGTGTGTGTATAACTTATGGACTACCTCTTTTGGGACCAAGCCCAAAATTAAGCAGAATGGTTTGTTCCATCATTGTTCTCTTTGTTAATTCTCTATAGTTGTGTGATACAACTTGGTTTAATAGAAAGTTTATTACTTGATGCTTGAAATACGGAAGAATGTATAAAATATCTTTTGAGCTTTTTAACTTGACTGGTTGAGATAACATGGTACTCAAATTTGTTTTGCAGTCAATATGGGTAAAACACACAAAGTGTCTCTTATCTGTTAAGATCTAAATTCTATTCTGAAGTGCGACATTAGTGAGCTGGGTGTGCCATAACTGAAAATAAAATCCAATTTGAAACTCCTGTAGTAAATATCTCCATTTCTAAAAGCCTGCTAACTACAGAGGTACAATATGCATAAAATCTTGCAAGCTGCTAGGATGTCTAAGAATAGTAGGTGTTCATTTCAGAATTTCAAAGAAACACTTAAAGATCTGAAAAATCTTTGTAAATTTGGCTAAAAAGATACCTGAACATAAAAGTAAGTAATATTAATGAATTTTAACAGCATACTTGTTAATTTGGTCATGCTCCAAAAATAACCTTAAATCAACTAAATATTGTATTGTCCTTTAAAGTGGTTTTTAAGTTCCAGAAGTTCCTTCTGAACTAATTTGCTCATGATACAAGGCTCTTTAAATGAAAACTGTGAGAATATGGTGTTCTACAGTTTGTGTTTGTTTCTTGGTACTCATTGTAGATTCTTGGTACTGTCACCAGTCACGAGCTGTGGGAACGTAAAGGTCAGACCCTGACATCCTCACATAGTACACCAGCCTGCCTGGTAGTCCTGTTGACTCCATTAGGTGCCATCTGTCCCATGAGGATTCTTCAGTGTGAGGGGAAAACAGAAGGACACAGCCCTGAACAAGTTGATGCTTGTTAGTTTGGTGCCAGAGGCTCTTCCTAGAATTTTGATTCTAAGCTTACAAGTGATTTCAAGACTCTCTTAGTCTTTAAAAACTGTAATGTCATCTGTCCAGTATATTTTATGTTGCATACCATTTCTGTTATCAAAATTCTCTATTGAATAGTGTCTGCTATATAGAGAACCAGAGATTATTTTAAGTTGTAAACACACAAGAACATTCTTCTGTAAGATTTGTGTAGGGGGAAGAAAACAGGTCTGGGGGTGTATGCAGAAATATAACTTTTTAAAATATAACTATTCTAAATATTTTTCTAAAAAGAAATGGTTTGAGACTCTTACTAAATTGAAATCACTAAGCTTTGCCATGCTTTTATAGGAGATTATTGCAACTGAAACAGCATTTTAATTTAAAAGGTATACATAAAACTTCTGCAAAACTGTACCATCATTTCTGATAAAAATACAGTGCTTGAAACTCATCTGAAATGTTTGTTTAGCCATTAGCACTACTTAGTAGTTTTCTTTTCCTGATTTTTCCACACTAAGGACTGCATAGTATGAAGTCACAGTTTGCCTTTGCACTGAACAAAAAAACAACTTACTGTTTAATCATTGCAAGCATTCAACATCTTGAAAGATCATTGTTTTATTCTATTTTATTTATATGCCTGCATTCTCAGTCTGCCAGAGTATGTGGCGGTTTTTAAATAAAACTTTATCTGAATTCTGGCTAGCTCTGAAACTTTCTGTTTGTTTTTATAACTACGAGGTGAGTACTCTAAGATGGGGGGGGGGGGGGGGAGGGGAATAAATACTCTGGAGTTAGTAGCTGCTCTTTGAAATTCATATCCTAAAATGCACATTTATAGCTGCTGTGCTTTTTTTTTTACTTCTTAGTAACTGCAAATCTGACACATTAACCAGTGACCAGACTGCAGTTTGCTAGATCCTGTGGAATGACTGACAGTCTGCTTGGACTGAGATTGGTAATGCTCACTATTGTTAAGTGCAGAAGAGAACAAAATGTTTCGGTCTGTATTGTCATGTAATGGCTGGGTGTGTTCACCTCAAAGTCTCACAGTAAGAGATTTCAGGTGAAGTAGCTTTGCTTGATAGGGAGTGGACAACTGTGCACAGCAGTTACAATGTATATGGAAAGGGAAGTAAGATGCCTGCCCTGGCCTCAGCACTCATATCTATGTATGCATGTAGATATGCAGGTGGTTTCTTTGCTGGCCACTTCAAGTCGTATGTTACCTGTGGATCAATGTCACAGTGCTCTGCAGGGCTGTGTCATGGCTGACAATGCTCTGATGAACGCAGCATGTCACACATGAATGCACTGGCATTGCAAAAAGTGCAGCCTGAGGTAGTGTGGAGAAACTGGGGGTTCTGGTGGTTAGAAGGAATGGAGGAGGTGGGTAAGAGAAAGGAGTTATGGCTGGAGGGACAAAACTTAAAAGGACCACCAAGAAAGAAAACAGGAGAAGGAGGGGCAGAGGTGGAACAAATGTGAACAGATTGGTGGTAGTCTCTGGTGGATTTGCTACCTGCTGCAGCTTGACTAAATGGATTGTTTCAACTTACCTGCTTTTAAATCACTTAAAAGTTTGAACTTCTGCAAATCACTGAGAAATAGAACAGAAGTGAGAAAGTGAGAAGTCTTAAATATTCTCCAGGCCATTTAGCTTTTAGAGCCAAAGCTAAATGGCTTGGAGAATATTTAAGATGGCACCATTAAATCTTTTGTTCCCACTGCTCACCTTCTGAAGTTTGCAGTAATCGTTTGGGTAACTTTCTCATGATCCTGCCAGGAGGAGGAACATACTACAAGTTTCCAAAGAATTGGTCTAAAGCAAGTTGTATCTAGAAATGCTATTACAATTGATCTAAAATCACAAGTTTAGATTGCAGTACCTGGAAGTTTGAAGTATTGGCAAGCTTAATGCCCTCTTTTTTTTTGTGACTGAACACTGGCATCACCTGCTGGTTCTGCTGGAAACACTGTGCTCTCCAATTGTCAAATGTTTGTATGGACGTTGCCACATGCCTATAGAAAGGTTCTTAAGTCTTTATCTAAAAGTTGAAAAAAGAAATGCAAAAATGATTTTTCCTCAGGTTTGATATAACAATTGGCCATACCAGTGCTGGGATTTTGGTGTTAACTTAGTAAATTACACTTCTTGATTTAAACAGGTTCAAGATGGCTCAAGCAGCAGTATAATGTTTAACTTGTTTTATAGTAACTGCAAGGCATTCTAGGAACATGTCTATTGGGCTTAAAATTTTTTTGATCTCTGTGTGTGTCTAGTTTCCAAGGATCCATCTGCACTAAAACGTGTTGAAGACTTGTGTTTGTGCACCTAGCAAGGTTTGTTAGCTACTACTGTGTTCTGCAAGGTACTGCTTTTGATAGTCTAAAATGATGAAAGCTGCTACCGTGGAAGAAAAAAACCCCTGAATTTACTGTGAACTGAAACAACTTGTGTCTGTATGAACACTAAAATAATACCACTGTCTTCAGTCAGCAATAAAAACTAAGTACTTTTTAAAAGGCTTAATTTAACTGAGAAATCTTTCTTCTTGCTGACAGTGGCTGTCGGCACCTACCCAGTGACAGCAGTTAACTATAAATGTCAACCAGTTTTTTTGTTTGGAAAACACAGAAAATACTTTAACCACATTTCCTACAACTGCTGATCTTTCTGTTGCAGTCTATACTTGCAGTTAAACTGTACAGTCTAGTGTATTTCCAATAAATGTTATGTACAGTAAACCTCAGCACCCATTGTCAAAGCCCTGTGGCACAGTTCAGAGGAAAGATCAGCATCCTGCTGAGGTTCATGTTTATAGAAGACCTGAAGAGTTCTGATAAAGAGAGCTTGTGTGAAAGCACTGAGTGGTTTTAGCATCCTTCTATTTCTCAGTGAAACATGTTTTTTGACTTGCACTAAACATGGTAGTTTCTCAAGTAATTTGATAGCTTTGCTTTGTATGTTGCCATAGAATTGTGTTATTCTAAAAGTGAGGGTACATGTTACAGCTAAGCTTAACTAATTGCTTACCTTCAATTAAAGGAAACAGTCCTATGTGTGTCTGCCTGCCTCCTTCCTGGCTGTGCCGTTCTACTTCTTCCTCTGCACTGAAGGTAGTGGTCTTCACACCCTTTGTTGAGCCAGAAAATGAACAGGAGAAGAGGTATCATCTTTAGGCAGCCAGCAGCAAGGTGAGAGGCACTGTAAGAGCAGAAATGGAGGATCTCATCTGTAGGGAGCTATCAGGTGGGCTGAAATTATGTTTTCTCTGCAATATGTATTACAATAATTTCATATTGCATCTACTAGAAAGTGTTTACAGCATTGAATAATGTAATTAAACAGTAAAAATTACAGTTCTGTAAAACAGTAACATTGGTAAGTTAAAGTCTTTCTTCTCGGACAAGTTCAGCACAAGGTGGCTTTTTTACATTTTTTCGTTCTCTAGAAAAGTTTGGCAGTACTTTAATCAAAATGTTTAAAAACTGAAATAGTTTATATATTATCAAACTGAATATATTGACTAGAATATAATAAAATGAACAATATATGTAGCAAATATTTTCCTAAGTCATGTACCGAATCTTTTTTACATCAGATTAAATCAAACAATTGCCCCTGCTGTGAACTTTAATATTCCTAGAGCCTGTTCGACTTTGTGGGCACCCTGGTAAGGAATCTGTTTTATATTATGGCATGTAGCATCCTTTGGATGAGTTCTTCTTAATAGTTTTTTGGGGACTAAGTAGATATTATTTACCTATGAGATAACTGTGCTGGTTTATCTAGATTTAAACTTATTTACATACAGCAGCTGCAGCATAATTTAGTAGGCATGTTGTGAAGCTGGGACTAAGGAAGTGTGTACCAGAACCCGCACTTGAAATTTCTTTATATTTTACAGTTGTGTCATGCTCCAAATGATCTAACTGAAGTACTAGGAGCACATAGCCTGATGCTCTATACAGTTTTATTTTCTCTATAATTGCCAGGTTTGAGAGACATTTCAGCAAGCTATGCCATTTCCTTGCTTTTCCTGCTTAAGAATAGAAAGAACAAAGCAGGCTGCTACTGCACAGGTGATATTTTTCCCTGTCAGCAGAGTGAGATGCACTAATGGCCCTTATTTACCAAGGTTCCTAAGTCTCCTTTGTCTTTCAAAGAAGCATAAGCACCTGTGAGACTTACAAATTTCTGAAAACAGGCTCCAGCTGTTGGTGTCACCTTGGGGGGGTTAAAACCTTTACTCAATATTATCATCAGCTGTGGACAGTGTTTTACATTATTATGCTATTTTGTCAGAACAACATTCATAAAGCTAACAAAAGTTACTAAACACATTAAAATAGAGCATAATGCACAAGATTCTTGAAACATAGGCCTACCTGAGTTCTGCTCTGCAGATCTTGGGTCCCTCCAGGGACTATTTTATGCCTGATTTTGTAGAATGGACAGCTGGGAACTTGGATGACACTGCAAAATTATTTTTACTTTTAATGCAGGTGTCCGAAAGTTAGAAATTAATGTCTTCATCTGCTTCATCAATGAACCTTGAAAATGTTGTCCTGCAATAAGAAACATCACAGAACTGCAATTTAAGATGAGCGCTAATTTCGGCATGTTTTCTGCTGGTGCTCTGTGCAGTGTTGTACTTAGACGAGAGGAGATTTAACAGGAGATGACCCGTATTGTCATCAGCATGGCATGATTTCCAGTAGCTGTGAAACAGATTAGGGTCATCAGCAGAGAGAGCAGCAGAGCTTTACCAGCACAGCCCAATATGGCTTACACAGGCAGAGAAAGGAGATAAATCCACAGCTATCAAAGGTAGGAAGCATTACTACTGACCTCTACATTTTATACAATAGTGACTGTAATTCCATGTTTCTTGATAGCATTGTTTCACAGGAAAATGGGCAATAACTTTGCACATTTTAAATTAAGGCAGAAGAAATACAGGGAAGAGATGATGGAATTTCCACTCTGTTGGAAATCATGTTGATGCTGGCTTTTTCTTCTATTGCCATATGCCTTCTGTATAATCTGTTGTTCTCCTTACAATGCACTTGAGAAATTTAGGATTGAAGTCAGTCACAAAATCATAGTGTTATACAGCAAGGGATATTTTTTAAGGGGTTACTTATTTTCATTGTTTTAAGAATATAGGGCAGTAAGCAGACTTGTTTCATCACAAATTATACATGTTAAGAAAAATTAGCTTTTGCCTTTTGATCTATAAACATTGTACTCTTGATAGAATTACAGTCATGTTGCATGAGCTCTAAAGATACAGATGTGTTATGAATAAATAGTAACTGTATTCAGGAATTTGGGATTTCATCATTGGTACATAAACAGCTTTATTTTTTTTCAGCCTGGTAGATTTTGTGTTATGCTAAATCCCCATAGTTTTAGTATATGCATAGGAAGACGCTATTTCTGTCAGGCAGACACCTGCTTCAGTTAAGAGGTGATCTCAGTGGGAGTTCCACCCATGGTGATTATGTTAAATCCATTATATATGCATCTGGACATCAGTTGTGTAATAACATGGGCAAAGCCTGGGTGCATTCACCTAAGAAGCTGCAGCCTCCTGTATCTTTCAAGTGTATCTTTAACTTTCTTGGTCCATAAAATACTGTTGTAATGACTTTCTGAAAAATTTCTATGTGTATTGCTGTGCCTACGTCTGGAAAGGCAAGAGCAGGTTTCAACTACTGTGCTCCATAGCAGTCTTGAGACGAAAGAAGGCAGCTGTAGGATCAGCCTCTTGATCTACTCACACTATAATTAGATGCACCTTTATGAACTGAAATATAAGCTGTTCTGTTCCCTTTTTATTTAGATGTCTGCCTTCTATCAGAATCTCTTGAGGATATTTTCATTAAATCATTCAAACCACAAATAAAAAAAAAAAATCTGTTAGAAGTACAAAGTAGAAGTATTAAGATAAGACCTCTTTTTCTCTGAAAAACAAGTAGAATTACTGTTGCTGAAATGTGTATTTTGTAGTCACGGAATCAGTTTAGCATACTGCTGGCTTCACAAAAGACATCTTGCACATGCTGCAGAGAAAAATATGGGTTTATTTGCCATTTTTGTTAGAATCATCAGGAAGAGTCATTGTATGATTCTATGCTTCTGTACTGAAGTCTGTGAGCTCTTATTACTAGGGGGTTTCTGTATCAAAAGAGAAACTGCTAAGAGACATAAAGATGAAAGACTGTATGCTTAGTTATTTTCAAAAGTAGTATTATTTACGTTCATTATGTCTTTCTGGCTTGTTTTGGCATGTTATTAGAGAACTTTAGTTTAAAATACTTCTGATTTAACACCAGTCATTTTGTGGATTTATTTGGCTTTTCAGTGTCATCTCTTCAATCTACCTGGACCTACTTGGTCTCAATTTTTTGGCCTCCCTGGACCCCTCCAGTGTCAAGACTTCAGCCTCCTTGGAACTCTTTAAAATCCCCTTTTCAGATTCTTTGGATTTATCCAGTCTGAGCTCTTCATCCTCTGTGGACTTCTCCAGTCTCACTTCATCTTCTCTGGACCTTTCAAGTCTCACATCTTCAGCCTCTTCAGAGTTCTCTAGTACCTCCTCTTCAGTCTCCTTAGAGATCTCCAGTCTCACCTCTTCAGACTCCTGGGAGCACTCTAGTTTCACCTCTTCAATTTCATTGGACTTATCAAGTCTCACTTCATCAGGATCTCTGGATCACTCTGGTGACAGTTCTTTAGCCTCCTTAGACCTCTCAAGTCTCACCTCTTCACCCTCCCCAGATTTCTCTAGTCCTGCTTCTTCACGCTCTCTAGACCTCTCCAGTGTCAGTTCTTCATCCTCCCCAGATATTTCCAGTCACAACTCCTCGGCTTCCTTGGACTCCTATACAATCCCTCCACCCTCACTAGGTGTCTCAGAGCACAGCTCTTCAAGCTCTTCAGACTCACTAGATCTCACCAATTTTAACTATTTTATGTTTCAAGGCTCCTCTGAATTATCTTCATCAACCTCTGAGGATGTTTCTAATCTCATTCCTACACCCTTTCTGGATGTTTCCAATCTCACCTTTCAGGATGCTTCTTCCCTCACTTCGTCAGTTTCTTTGGACATTTCTAATCTCACATCTTTAGTTCCCCCAGACCTATCCACTCCCACATTTCTGGATGTTGCTAATCGTACCGCTTCGACTTCTCTTGATCTCTGCATCTAACCCTCTTGACATGTCCCTTCTCACTGCAACCTCCCTGTATCCGTTATGTGCTCTTTCCTAAATTCTGTCTCTCAAAAGTTCTTATCTGAGGAAAATTTAGGGTTTTACAAAGATATCCTCACATCTAAACAGAACTGGGCATGAAAACAGATCATACAGATCTACAATGGTGCCTTGTTCACAGCTGCATAAACATCAAAATGAATTCTGGAATTTTTGTAGAGCACGATTTCTGTCACTAATTTCATTTCTATTCTGTCTCACCATGGTACCTCTCCCAGAGGTTTAATGTTTTTAATTCATGCTGAATAGCAGCCTTCCAGTAACTGAAGGGGTGCTATAGGGATGCTGGGAATGGACTATTCATTAGGGACTGTAGTGACAGGACAAGGGGTAATGGGTTAAAACTTAGATAGGGGAAGTTTAGATTGGATGTAAGGAAGAAATTCTTTACTGTAAGGGTGGTGAGGCACTGGAATGGGTTGCCCAGGGAAGTTGTGAATGCTCCATCCCTGGTGGTTTTCAAGGACAGGTTGGACAGAGCCTTGGGTGGCATGGTTTAGTGTGAGGTGTCCTTGCCCATGGCAGGGGGGTTGGAACTGGATGATCTTAGGGTCCTTTCCAACCTTAACTATTCCACGATTCTATGAATTTTTATCTGTCAAGACCACGAAATAGCGAATAGAGCTACATGTGCAAACAGTTACATCCAACTTGTATGTCTCCCATTACGGATTTAAACCTGAGAACGTTGCACAGAATCGCAGGCAGAGGCATTTCACATGGAGGTACAGAGAGAGATGTGGTGGGAGAAGAAAACGGGGGGAAAAGAGCAGGTAAGAGAAGGAGTAGGGAGAGGAACCAAAGAAGTTGTGGGGCAGGAACAGAGGGACACATAGGTGGAAAAAGGTGTCCAACTCTGCTAGCGTAACTTTTCTGTCAAGGTATATTTGTGGCCTGGGCTGCCCATGAGGTTTAAAATAATCTTATTGATAACTATTTTATCTATCAAAACATTGGACATTAGCATTAAAATAGTGTATGTCTCTAACATGCACTTTATCAATAAATGAAAGTACTGCAGTTATTTGTGTTGTATGCAATGTGGAGCACTGTGATGAGTGGTGTTCCTCAGGAGTCGGTATTGCAACTGGTGCTCTGCCACTCACAAGGACCTTGACAGGCTTGTGAGGTGGGGACCTTATGAAGTTCAGCAAGGTCAAGTGCAAGGTCCTGCACCTGGGTTGGGGGCAATCCCCCAAGCACAAAGACAGGCTGGGTGGAGAACTGATTCAGAGCAGGAGGACTTGGGGGTACTGGTTGATGACAAGCTCCCCATGACCTGTCAGTGTGTGCTTGCAGCCCAGAATCCCTCCATGTGCTGGCTGCACCCCCAGAGGGTGAGCAGCCAGCCAACAGCTGCTGTGCTCTGGAGAGACGCTCCCTGCAGTCCTGATCCATCTCTGGGGCAGCAGCACAAGAGGGATGTGGAGCTGTTGGAGCGAGGCCAGAGGAGGCCACGGAGATGCTCCGAGGGCTGGAACATTTCAGGTGTGGGCACAAAAAATCCCATGCGAAGGCATCGTGTCTGACAGGACAAACCTCTGAACAGGTTGGCCACACACAGACCAGAGCTCCCAACTGAAGAGTCTGTTTATAACTCACTGTCTCCACATGCTTGCAAAACTTTTTCTTCTTTAGTCTTATTTAGAAAAAGCTAAGACCTTATGGCACAGAGGGGTAATAACTTTCTTAGCTGGAAAAAAATACACACTTTTAACCACTTGCTTGGATTCTTAGAACAGGACTACTCAGGAATGAGTTAATATGTAACATAAGTGCTATGTAACTACCCATTAGCCTCACTGAGGAGCCGGGTCCTAATTTCTGCTCTCCAGTGAACTAATGTGTGCTGTGTTCCTGGCGAATTACCTGCTCTGAATCACGAAGACCTCACACACCCGCACGGTTTTGGACGGCACGACCCAGCTGACCACGTTTGAAAGCCAAGCTGAGACCTTCCCCAGCCGGGAAGGGCCCAAACCTTTCCCAAACGGTTTGTACCGGAGAAAACCCGCCCGTGCCGCGCAGCACTGACCGCTCCTCATGCGCACGGACACCGTCCCCGGCGGGCGGCGGGGCGGGGCGGCGCGGCTCAGAAGGAAGAGCGGGGAGTCATGGTTCAGCCTTCTGATTGGTCGCTGCTGGAGGAGAGCGTTTCTGACTGGAGAAGCGACTGAGTAGATGCGGTTGGTCAGATTCCCTGAGGTAACTCGGATTCCGATTGGTGAAAGGTCACTCCTGGTTGTTGATTGGCTAGAGAGCAGCGCTGCGGCCTTTCCTCTTCCGGCGGGCGCTGACCTTGCCCGGGAGCGGAGCGGAGCGGGGCGGGCGGGTTGCGGTGTGTGTGAGCGGCCGCCGGCAGCGATGGTGGCGTACTGGCGGCAGGCCGGGCTCAGGTACCCGCGCCGCGGCAGCCGGGCTTCTCTCATGACTTCTTTCCTCCCGGGGGGGGGGGGGGGGGGGGGGGGTTTGGTTCTCACCGTCGTTTTCTGTCCCCTCTTCTCTCCTGTTTTAGTTACATCCGGTTTTCCCAGATCTGCGCCCAAGTTGTGAGAGCGGCGATGAAGCCTCAGTACAAAGCGGAGGCAGAGAGGGCGGCAGTGGCCACGGTGAAAACCGTGAAGCCCAAGAAGGAGTAAGCTGTAAGTCAGGTGAGCGGGCCGGGTGCTGCGCTGCAGCTCCTGTGCAGGTGTCCCAGCGTGGGCTGCGGTCATGGCGGTAACTGCGGTAACATGCTGTATGTGGAAGACCAGCGCTGATCTCCGTGCAGACTGCTGGCTGGCTTAGCACTAACGTGTGCGGGTGCATGCAGCCAGACTGTGTATTGGAGGGGAAACCGCTTCGTCTCATTAGTTCAATAAAGTGATGTTCTATTCACCAGCATCTGCTTTGAACGACTTTGGTTTGGTCAGAGTTGTTAGAGAATTAGCACAGAACTGCTGGGTTTCTATAATAACACTCAGAGGTTTCCTGTCTCTTCGCTAAGGCAACAGCCAGCCTCCCTGAACTGCTGCTTCTTCGAACCAGCAGATTTATCTGTATAAGGGTTATCTACTGCATGTGAAAGATAGATGCTTTACCTTTATTTGTGACACTGCATACATCATGAGCAGATGAAATCTCTTACAGCTTTTATTATTCTTGGTCTGAGATTAAACATTACTGCCTTTTGTTTGAATCATACCTTGTGCGTCTGCTTGAATGTAGTAACTTGTATTTTAAATCTCTTATAGGAACTGATGTGTGGTGAATACTCCAGCACCAAATGGCAAAGCTGTGGACAAGCTCAAGTCTCTGCAATATAATGTCATCACATTAATTGTAAAACAACTTGCCTCTATATACACATCATCATGCTAATAAATGTAATGTCTGTTAAACAAATGCACGTGTGGGAAGTGGTGCTCTTCTTAAAACTAAGTGGTCCGTTTTGCAGAGACATTCATCTTTCACTTGTATTAAAATAATGTTTGTATCACAGTCTGCTATTTCGTAGCAACATGTGTTTAAGGCGCATCTCTTGCTGGATTTCAGGGCAATATTTCAAGTACATAAATAAGAGATTTAATCCTTGTTTAAAACGTTTCTGCCTACTTCAATGATTATAACTTCAGAAAAAAGTGTTCTTTGCTAAAACCTATTTCAACAGGGAATATAGGCATATAATTGCAATAATTAGAAATACCTCTGCTGGTTCCTGCTGGAAGTGCTGTGTACTTGGCTTTAAAATTCTCTGTCATCGTGGTGTTCAAATTCCACTTGTGCTTAGAACAATACAAAATTGGTGAAAATCAGTTTGGTGCAGCTAAAGGTTATGGCTAAACCCTCAGCATAAGAAGGATGTGGAGCTGCTGGAGGAAGTCCAGCCATGGAGATGCTGCGAGGGCTGGGTCAGCCTGGAGAAGAGAAGGCTCCTTAAGGGGAGACCTCAGAGCAGCTCCAGTGCCTAAAGGGGCTCCAGGAAACCTGGAGAGGGGCTTTGGACAAGGGCCTGTAGGGACAGGACAAGGGGGAACGGCTTTAAACTGACAGAGGGAAGACTTGGATTACACATAAAGCAGAAGAAGCTCTTCCCTGTGAGGGTGCTGAAGTGCTGGCACAGGGTGCCCAGAAAAGCTGTGCCTGCCCCGTCCCTGGCAGTGTTCAAGGCCAGGTTGGATGGGGCTTAGACCAACCTGCTCTAGGGGAAGGTGCCCCTGCCCGTGGGACTGCTGTTGTCTCAAACAGGAGGAATGATGTTCTTAACAGTATAATAAACTCTAAGAGTACAAAAAACCACCCAATTCAATTTCCTCATGCTACAAGAATAAGCTGATTTTTGTCTATGAAATGTTTCAAGTATTAATGTATTTTATGGAATAATATATAATTTTTATTTTAAAGAATATTATAAATACATTGTAAAGTAAATGGCTGTGAATGGCAAGAAACTTTTTCTCTGAAGTTAAGATAGGCATTTGATTCAGTGATTGCTGTTGAACTTAGACCTAACTAGCTGCAAACCATTCTTTCCACTTTGTAGTACTGATGATAGGAAGAAAATTCACAGTAGTTTAGTTAATACATGAGAAAAAAACCAAACCAGACCAAGACATTTACACAGTGTCCTTAACACTGTATGCTAATAATTAATAAATCTATAGTTTGAAATAGAAACAAACCACACAAGGATAATGGATACAAGCTCTGCAATAATATAAGCAAGCCAGCAATGTGATAGAACTATTAAAGTACTTTTAAAAAAGTGAGACTGTGCATAATCAGTTTTTTGCCCTGTGTTGTTTCCTCTCTTCTCCTGCAACTTAAGGAACTGCACTTTTCTGCAGAGCTACATCAGTCTGTGGAGTGTGTAATAAAAGAGGCAGTGCTGCCTTTGCAGGCCAGACAGGTGTGTGCATGGTCCTGAAACAGTAACAAGGTCACAAACAAAACAGGGACTGTTTACCTAAGAATAAATACATTTGATGAGTTGGTAGCGTATTTTGCTGTTGCTTATGATCCTGGTATATATTTATACACAGGCACAGAGGCTGTATATTACATTCAGTATCAGCAATAATCTTCAAAAGGTGAATACATTCACTAGAAAGGCTGTTAGGAGACAACTTGTCTTAGCAGTGGATCTTTTTTGAGAGCAAGTCAGTGTCAACAGGACACTCTCACAGGAGATTGAAGCACAGCTGCCCTTAATTTCAACAGCACTGTATTGTAATAATGGATATATTTTGGCCAGATGCAGAGAATTCTTCAGAAAGGTGTTATTTTTGGTCTGCAGGTGATGGTTATTGCTTTTTTTTTTTTAGTGAGTGTCAACAGGCTTATTTGGAGACTGTTTTGATATTGCCATTGTTTTTACTGAGCTTCCTTTTCGGGGCTGGCTTCTGCTTCTACCTCTTCATATTCCTCAACATCTGCAGTGGCATCCTGGTACTGTTGGTACTCGGACACAAGGTCATTGGTATTACCTTCTGCTTCTGAAAACTCCATCTCATCCATGCCTTCACCTGTGTACCAATGGAGAAATGCTTTTCTTCTGAACATAGCCGAGAACTGTTCTGAAACCCTGATGAAGAGCTCCTGAATGGCTGTGTTATTGCCAATAAAGGTAGCCGCCATCTTCAGGCCTCGTGGTGGTATGTCACACACAGCCACTTTGACATTATTAGGGATCCACTCCACAAAGTAGGAACTATTCTTGGTCTGGACAGCCAACAACTGCTCATCCACTTCCTTGGTAGACATTCGGCCTCTGAAGATGCATGCCACCGTCAAGTAACGTCCACGACGAGGGTCGCAGGCTGCCATCATGTTACGTGCATCAAACATTTGTTGAGTAAGCTCTGGCACTGAGAGGGCTCGGTACTGTTGGCTGCCTCGAGCTGTCAGTGGAGCAAAGCCTGGCATAAAGAAATGCAGTCGAGGAAAGGGCACCATGTTAACAGCCAGCTTCCTCAGATCTGCATTCAGCTGACCAGGAAAACGGAGTGAAGTTGTGACACCACTCATTGTTAGGGACACTAAGTGGTTGAGGTCACCGTAGGTGGGATTGGTGAGCTTTAAAGTTCTAAAACATATATCATATAGAGCTTCATTGTCAATGCAAAAGGTTTCATCTGTATTCTCGATTAGTTGGTGGATGGAGAGGATGGCATTATATGGCTCTACGACTGTGTCAGATACTTTGGGTGAAGGAACAACACTGAAAGTGTTCATAATCCTGTCAGGATATTCTTCTCTGATTTTGTTGATGAGGAGCGTGCCCATACCTGAGCCTGTGCCACCACCAAGTGAATGGATGAGCTGGAATCCCTGAAGGCAATCACAGCTCTCACACTCATTCCTGACCACATCCATGACATTTTCAATCAGTTCAGCGCCTTCTGTGTAGTGGCCCTTAGCCCAGTTGTTCCCAGCACCTGAATTACCTGTGAACAGAAAGAACAGCCACAAAGTTGGGAGTTAAAAGGCCATTCTGGGACAGCTGACTCCAGTTACTTTGCTAACAGCAGGCTGTACATACCATGAATAAAATTGTCAGGTCGAAAGAGTGGGCCTATTTTGCTGGACCGTACACTGTCCATCGTACCAGGTTCCAGGTCCACCAAGATAGAACGGGGCACATATTTATGGGCTAGGACAGAAGTAAACGAATGTGAACAATTACTATTAAAAGCCAAAGAGACAAGCTTATGACCTGCTTTGAAAACTCCAATCCCCCTACAGTGATTTGGGGAATGTATCTTTTAATTACTTATTTTAACCTCCATGTTGGCTCTGCAAATTGCTCTGCCAGCACCCAGTGCCGAGCACTTACAGTAAGCCTCATTGAAGTAGACGTTAATTCGCTCAAGCTGCAGTGATGCACCCCCATAGTAGTTTCCAGCGATGTCAATCCCATGTTCATCACTTATCACCTCCCAGAACTGAAAAAGGAAACAGGTTCAACACATTTACAAAGATTTACTCTTTCTTCAGCACAACATGCTCAGCACCAGATCTACTGTGCTCATGCCCGACTGCACACACAGTGAGAATTTTGCCTGAAATGGGGCATGTTTTGCCATTTACTCATTAGATCAGAGTGGGGATCCTCATCTCCCCCCTCCACAAATAAATTCAAGGCAATAGTTTAGTATGCTGCTTAGCTGTTACCCATGTACTAATAGGTGGAGGCCCTCAGTTTTGTCCCTTTATAGTAAAGGAAAATTGGTATTAGTTTAAATAACACAGGTACTAGTCGGTATAAGCTTAACATAAAAGCTGCGACGGTGGACTGGGGAGATGCACAAGTGTCACGGCAAAGCTGGCTCAGCCAAATTTGTGTGCTAGCAATGCCTTCCACAAACAGATGTTGGTCCTGAGTGTCCTATCTTGACATTCACCTGGATGTCTTGTACTTGGGCTCTTATCTAGGCGGCAGCCACAGCAGTGTTACTGTGACACACCCACCCACTTATAATGACCAGGCTGGTTTAATGTTAAAGGTCTCCTGGGTTAGCATCCAGTCTTGGTTTGGGTGTACAAATACACTCCTGCCAGCACATGCATGCTGTAGTGGTGTGTGCATGTGTACTTTTCTTACAGGTGTTATTACACGTAAGTGATTCCCAGGTCAAAGCCAACACTACCACACTGGCTGCATTCTAACGGTCTCGGTCTAACATGACATTCCCTGGCCATCCACAGCTTCATGCTCCAATAAAAGGAATTAAGGTGAGATTTGTGGGAGAAAGAAATGGAGGAAGAGTACAACGGAACAATCTTTCAGCTAATGTGTGTCTTCAAAGACTTCCTGGCCCCAAATTAACCCAGATACCCTTTGGTTTTTGACAACTTATCAACTAAAAAGAGGGCTATCATGCAGCAAAAAGCAGCGAGGTTTGGTTGGGTTTTTTCTCCGAGCACACAAACTCCGCCATGAGTGACTTCTCCCAAGTAACAAGCATGACAGTGTTTGAACTACACAAAAGTACTCCAAACGACATCACAAAAAGAGCCTCGCACAGGTGGCCAGTTCGGCAGGAATCCTTCACTGCACTTTCTGCCACTCTCAGAAAAACCTAGTTGGTCACTGATAGCACAGGTCATTCTGCTGGTTACTACCGTCCCATATTAATGATCACAGTGTGGCAGAGTTACTGCTGTATGGATAAACTAAAGCGCTGTCATCACAACTTTGCAGGCCTGGAATCACTTGCTCTCCCATTTGTCCCAGTATTTCACAGACTAGATTAGTGCCCCTGGAAATACAAGTCTCAGCAGGAATTCACTTACAATCACCATGACATAGTTACTGCAGGTGTTTTACTCTTTGACAGTCTTAACCTTTGCATAAGGAACAAGCCCATCTTAAGACTTTCATATCAAAATATTCACATTCGCTGCTAATGTGCCATGCATCTTACCACTGAGGTAGCAAATTGTTCCCCCTGAAAGTCCCCATCTAGTAACAACATTTGACCTGCTACCACTGGGAGCCCTTACTACTAATGACCAATACTGAAAAGAGATCTTACCTTGGATCCAATTTGGTTTCCACACTGGCCAATCTGAAGATGCACAATTTCACGCATTTTGTGTGGCTTAGAACCTTGGTGGCTACAACCCAACAGGTTTTGTGGTTGCAGTCCCCAGCACAAGCCCTCTCTGCTGCTCTATCAGCTACACCCAGCACAGTCTGCCCCAAGGGGCCTTTTTATACTAGTG